GAAGAACCTAGTATCAGAGTGACCCCTGCTCACTGCATCTCTAGAAATGAGCTAAGTCTATCAGGAAGAGCAGGAGAGAGACTGTCAAACACAGAGCATGGCTGCAAAAGCTTTTGCCTTGGGAAAAAGAAGCAGATTAGGAAAGAAAATGGGATTAAAGGAAGAGACAGCATGATAAGGAAGTAAAATTTTAGGGAGGAGAGATTATGGTTAATTTTCATGCATAATGAAAAGCTGTTGCTTTAGCTGGGCCCCGATTTGGCTCCTTCTTGCAGTGCCTGCCCTGAGGGTTAGATGACTGGTGGAGCCTACTGGCATTTCGCAGGGACTTCAGACGTTTTTACTACCAGAATCAGTACATCTACTTAAGTGGCTTTGGAATTTTTCCTTGAGGTTTTACTCCTTTTTGTTCACGTTTTATCCAGCCCATTTAGACCAAATAAAAAACAACCATTGGGTCACAGCATCCTGTGATCTGTTCTAACCAGCAGCTCCATGTGGGGTTCATGCTCAGTGATCCCAGTGTATGGTTGCAGCTCTGAGAGAACCTGCCTGGATGAGCACTCTAAATGTGGCTCTAAAGCCAGGGCTTTCTTAAGACAGAATGACTGTTTACATCTCTCTGCAACCCTGTGTAGAGAAAGGGGGATAGAGATATTGCTACTAAGCTGTGTAAGCTCTGAGTGCAGGGCTCTGGGGGAAACTAACAAGCAGCCTCTTACTTCAATTAGTTCTTGCTCTGCAGCTTTGCCTCCCCTTCAAAAGCGAGTAATTTCATACTGCAGGCAAGTAGCAGGTCTGCAGTCTACAGAAACAAACCAGACTTTGGCTTCCCACAGCTCACCACCTCAGAGGTTATCAGGGGCTATCTTCTTCAGTGATCCCTTGGTTGCCTCAATCTCAAATCCCATAAGCTCTGCAAGCATAGTTTCCAAAGCAGCTAAACCTGAAGGCAGGTTTAGCCCGTGCGTGTGTGTGCACGTGTCTGTCTGTAAAGACAGACAATCAATTGTTCGATGTGGATAAAACTATTGTTGTTTTTTTTTCTGTTCAATTCTCCTCTATGTGCAGATGTTCCTATTCAGTCTAAGATTTGAGAAGCAGGTTTACAATGACAGTGCTTCTGCACTGTTTTTTGTTCAGCAACTACAAACCTCTGGAGACTTTGCAGTGCACCAGGATGGAGGAGGGAGAGTCACACTTCAGCAGGCAGTCTTTGCTAACCCTTTTTGATATTTTACTGTGGCTTAATACAGCAGAGACCTGACATACATTCAAATTGCCATGTACTGAAGAATGGAGAAATGATAGCAGAAAAAAAAAATTCTGTGTGTCCTTCTGGATTTCAATCTACATAGTAGTGCTTTCGGAGAGTCAGATCACCTTGTGAAGTAGGTTTTGTTTTTTTTTTTTCTTCCTGTTTCACTTAACTGATATCCTTCATACCCCTTGTGTGTAAAAACGGTGGCTTTTGCTTATACACATTTTGCCACTGTTGCCACTCCCCTGTGTGTTCCCCAATACAGTATTGGATGTATTAGGAACAAGTTTAAGAGGTATCACTGATCACAGAAAAGGATGCTTGTTTAAACCACTGGCATGACATGTTCACATATCTGACCTTGTCAAGGTCAGAAGAAATGTGCAGGTTTCACGTAAACACACACACTCAGATGTGAAATCCTGTTAAATTAGGCCCCGAGAGGGAGAACACCTGAGGCAGTTCAAAGACCAAGGTGGTAAGCTGCAGATCCCTAGAAGTTATTAACACCAGGCAAAGAGACCTGAGAGCAAAACTACAAGGGAATCAGTCAAAATAAGGTTAAGTAAGAGAAGGGGAAAGAAGAAATAGATATCGAGGAAATTGGCTGCATATTGGCTGCGTTTGAAACTAGAGGAGAATGGAAGATTTGGCCTTTCTTCCCAGACAAAATGTGAAAGATAAGAAGTCAAAGAATCAGGAGAAAAGGAGTGGGGGAAGCAGACATGCTGAGTGCTGACTAATGGGCAGCATTTCATTAAGTGCTGGCAGAGGCCACAGAGACTGTTGGAAGGTGGTGTGCTCCTCTCTCATGGGACACACCAAATTTTTGCCTTATCTGCTTTTTACTTGTTGCCTTAGTAAAGAAAAGCCCTGAGGTATGCCAGAGAGATTAACAATATCACCTGGCTGCTTTAAATGTTGGTTGCAAAGAGCCTCACCAAAACATGTTCCTACTGGTCGAGGAGCCAGTGCTAGGTACATCTGGTGAAGACAAGGCTTGGTTGGCTTTCTGTCAGCCGACTTCTCAGCAGATTTGGAACAATGCCTCTAGTGAGGGCTCTGCACAGAACCTTAAATTCCTTCTTCTTCCTCAAGACACAGAGAGGTAAGTTTGCTTGAGTGGCAATACATTGCTCCTGCAAGGAGTGATGCAAATTCATCTCCCACATGGATGAGTTGCACTGTGTTCTAAAATGCTTGCTGGCCCTGATGAAACTACAGTCTCTTGAATCACAGGAATTGCACTTTATTGCACTTTTCTGACACCCTGACATGAACCTTTAACCTTCTATAGGCTATTTAAGTCAGTCAGTGCCCCTTGAAACAAATTGATGCACACAACACTGGTTGTGTGCTTAAAACCTGGGGAGCATAAAAACATTTCCTTTGAATTCTCATGAAATCACCAGCTCTCACAGGGTGTAAATGTGTTATGCACAAGAGTAGGTTATACTTGAACACTTGTAAAATGGCCCCAGAACTGCAGAGCAGTGATTGTGAGTATATTATGCTGTAATTATGCTCAAAGACTCATAGACTCAGTCAGATTTAAAGTGTGCAGCACTCAGGATTTTCCCTATATTTGATCCCTGCAGCTAAGTGCAACAGCAATGGACTTGAAAGCGTGTTGCTGCAGTAACTTGCCAAATGATGGTACTCAGTAAATGCCCAGAGATAAGTCCTGGGGAATGTGAATCACATTGGCAGCAAGTGTATCTATGTCTGTAAATGATGGAGAAAGTTGCAGTGTTTTGGGGAATTTCCACCTTATTTCTGCAAGGGAAACTAATATTTGTCCATGAAAGCAAAAGACAGATGTTTCTTAGATGCTGTTTTGTGATTTATAAACACTGACCACACTAGGGTGCTTTATATTTGTTAGTGAATCTTTCTTATTTTCTGCCTGAAGAGTCTCACTCACTAGTTCAAGGTTTAAAGGAGAGCAGAAAATCCCCATGAAAAGCAACAAATACAGCTTTCCTGAACGTACAAATAATGTAACTCTAAAGCACGTTACCTAAAGCCAATTTTAAGCTTGAACACAACGGCCAAAAGTTTCCTTTTTCCCTTTCCTACTGATCCAAAGCCTTGCATGTTCTCTCTGAATTTCGTTGCACTGCCCATAGTGAGCTGCAGTTAACTACTGAATAGTAATTTTCATAGGCCTTGAGAGTCATGCTTCTGGAAAGAAACAAGTGAACAGCATCTGCAAAAATGCAATTTCTTCTTAACATAATGGCTTTGGATCTTCTTAGGAAATGAAAACATCAGAATTAGTCTGAGTAGGAGCATAATGCGCAAAGAGTGACCAGAAAAAGCACTTAGGAAGCCTAAAGGTATCACAGTGCTCAGAGATCTATTACCCAATCTTCCATGTAAATAGCACGAACCCACAGGACAAAAGGCTCCTCGATTTTTCCCTGTGCTTGGAGGCCCTAGGAAAGGCCAAAAGGAATTTGAAGTTACACAAAGCTTTTATCCCAAACCCACTCACACATGCCTCTCACATCAGGACAACTTTGCCTCGTGACAGCTGCTGCAAAGTATGGAGAGCTGGCCAGCAAAAGTTGGCAGTAAAACCACAGACTGACAAACCCCAGCCAGAAAACACTTTTAAAAGCACGGTACAATGTATTTGGCCTGCCTTTACACAAAACAGGTAACACTTTGTGCTGAGGCAAAAGGCCCAGCAGGAAAAACACTCTGGAGTCACTTGTAGTGTCACATCAACACACACAACTGTGGGTGAGGGCTGCAAACTGTGGCAGTGCAGCTTCGTCCGGGGACTGACTCCAGCCAGCCAAGTCCAGGTGTAAATGTGAGGGCAGCCTTGGGGCACTGCACTTGTAGGATCAGGGAAAACATGCCACTCACAAGTAATGCTAAGGACTTGTCACTTACGCCGCAGAAACACCTACCACACCTTGCTGGTGGAATGGTGGGCCATACAAGAACTGTATGGTAGAGATGAGAAGCAGTTTTGTTCAGAAGAGTGAAATTCCGAGGCTATCATCCTAAATCCATGAGCAATAGCGAGACCAGTATAAACTGCTTCACTTTGCAGAGTGTCTTTGGTTTCTTCTTTCAGAAAATTAAACCTTTAAAACTTATTTCTCCCCACTCGTCTGCCATGACCCACCTGCTCCAGTCTGTTTCCATTCCAGTGAAAAGACTGAAAGGTTATCACTATTCAGTTGTATTGAGAGATGTGTGCGTGTGTGGAGAGGAAAGGTTCTGCTTTGCCAAACACCTGCAACAATCCCCGGCTTGGACTCCTTCCTCACCTGCCATGCTCTTCTTGTGGCAACATTACATAAAGTCTCCCTTCACCTCCCGCTCCAGCGGCTCCTTCTGCGCTGGGGAACGCGGGGCCGGGTCGCGGGGTGGGATGGCGGGGTGTGACGCGGGGGGTGGGTCGCAGGGGTAGGACACGGGGTGGGGTGCGGAGCGCAGGGGTGGGACGGGAGAGTGGGACGCGGTGGGGGGGCCGAGATGCAGGACGCGGGTCTGAGATGCAGGATGAGCGATGCGGGTCCGGGACGCGGGATGCCGGTTCGGGAACCACGCTCGCGGCTGAGGGGGCGGTGCACAGGGCCCCACTTCCGGCCCGGCGTTGCCGCCTCTCGCTTGAGAAAGGGCGGGGTCGCCTCTGGCCAATAGCGGAACTCGGCGGGCGCGCGCGGTGGGCGCTGGTTGGTCGGCGCGGGCCGGGGGCGGGGCTCGGCGGCAGGGCCGGACCGCCGGCGGGGCCGCCCCGCAGAGCCGGCGTAGCGGCGCCCGGGACGGGTCGGGGCTGGTGCTGGTATCACCGCCGGGTCTGTACCAGGATGCGGCTGCGCTCGGGGGTGTTCGCCTCCACCTGCCTCCTCGTGCAGGCCCTGGGCGTCGCGCTGTTCCTCCGCGGTTTCTTCCCGGTGCCCGTCAGGTCTCTGCCCCGCAGAGAGGCCCGCGCGGACTCTCCCGCCGAGCCGGCCCCGCCCGGCCCAGGTAACGCGAGCAGCCGCCCAGCGCGCCCTCTCCCTCGGTGCCGCGGGACACCTTTCTGGAGACGCCTTCGTGCTTCCAGAACTGCTTCCGGAGTAGTTTAGAACTTAGCTGGTTTCTATGTAGTTGTCGATTTCTGCCAGCAGCATCTGCTCACTGTGGCAAAAAGCCTCCAGCGTCAGCTGTCACGTCTCTGAAGGGTTTTCCTGTCCTTTTATTCCCCGTTCCCTGACGCTGATGTTGCCGTCATACCCCTCCTGTTTAATGGCAAGTTGTTTGCATTAAATGATGCCGTCTCAGTTCAAACACCTGAGTGCTTGCTCTGTTAACTCGCTGGTTGTGTTGTGCCCAAGAACCATCGTGTCTGTGATGCTTCTGTGTTGTGTGAGCGTCTTAACCCCACCTCGCTGGGATTTTAGCACCTCAGTAGCCACAAAGTGACTGTAGCAATGCAGGTTGCAACGTGCACAGTATTGCTGTCCATTACCATTTCTGTGAAATCACTGCCTTTACAGGTCCTGCTCTATTCTGTAGCTGAATTGGCGAAACCAAAGTTTTCAAGCGTCTTTATAACGAGGAGTCAGTAGAGGACATGTTGATAGTATAACTTTCTTATATGTTCAGTCTCAAGTTGCATTAAAGTAATGTGAAGAAGAGGACTTTGTACTTGAAGGAGTGTTCTTCACCAGTGTTTGGAGCTTGTAGGGTGGGCAGTGGGCAGCTGCATGGAGTAGGAGTTATTTTGCTCCTTGCAAGCTCTTGCCTGGGACATCTACTTAGTAACTTTGTGGAACAGGACTGTACCTGCCAAACTGGGTCTTCAGCTGCTTGTTATTTGTTATTATTCTTTCAAAGTGTGTGACTTTTTTTTTTACAGAACCACAGTATATTCTGAGTTAGGAGGGACCCAAAAGGATTATCGAGTTGTTACTTGAATTGTGAGACGCAGTGGAGGGAAGAGAAGGTTGTGTAATTTAGAATGTGATGTGCCGATACCAATTAAGCAGGAACAATGAAAGAATTTAATCTGGTAACAGACCTGAGTGGATTTTGTGGATGGCAGGTTGCTTTTAGCTGGAGTTTACCAAGACTGCCAGAGATGTTTGATAGGCTGCTGTGAGTGAAATGTTGCATTCACATGTGATTATTGGCTGGAGCCTAATGCAGAGGGAGACTGCTTGGGTGGGATGGAGATGTCAGATTAACTGGGTTTTGAAAGGACTGATTTGTGCTGAAGAGTGTTGGTGTGCACCACAGGGCTCTACAGGCAGTTTAAATTTAGGTGTGTCACTAGTAATCCCAGGTGTAGTAGGCAAAAATGGAGTGACAGTGGAAGAACATTCTCTTTCTGTAGTTCTTGGGTTATGATTTGCTTCCACAGTGATCTCTTGGTCTGGACAATAAGCTCTAAAGGCAAGGTGTTGCTTACTAAACACATGATGCAGAAGGCTTTCAACCTACTTTAGGTCTATCCAGGAAAGATTATTTCCCCAGTGCCTCTGTATTTCCTGCATGTTTCCTTTGTGAGTCCTGACTGCCATTGACCACATGCTGTCTTGCCTGTGGGATGGCTGTAATAGTGAATCCTTACAGCACATCATTGTAGGAAGTTTTTGATAGAGAACCTGTGGTTTTCTTCACTGCTTGCAGAAGTTCAGCTTCATTTAAAGTAACTGTTCTCTAAGTAAGTAACCCTAAATAAGCATTCCACATGCCAAGACTTGCACCATGTATCGTTTTCACTATCTTACAGTAAGTATTTTCAGATGGCTTGTGACTCAGAATTCATTTGAACTTCTCAATACTTTGACTTACCGATGAATTACACTGCAGGAGGAACTTAGGAGTAGGGCATATGTGTTTATGATCTGATCATTTTTGGTGTCCAGGAAGCTTTCTTTCACTAAGCAAGTAGATAGGAGTACATTACGAGAAAGATTTTACTGGCAGTACATCCAGTGATGCCTTCTTGTTTTTCATGGAGAGCCAAAGCATACCTTTTAGTTGATAATTCAAGTCCTGTTAAACCAAAATTATCAGTTTAATTAGGGTTGCTGGTAGTTAGCATTTTATTGTTTTTGAGATTTCCTTCTTCCCCCTGCTATGCCTTCCTCCATAATTTTCTGATCTGGAAAAATCATTAGCAGTAACGAGTCTGTGAATATCAGTTTATTGATGCTTATCTATGTACTCCAAAATACAGTTTCTGAGGGTTTTTTTCCTTTTTGGGTTTTTTTTTGAGTTTCTTGTGTTAGACACACCACTATCTGTGACCTTTCCAAATTGTCAACCGCTTATGCAGAAACAAACTTTATTCTAAAGGAGTGTAAAAACCCTAGCTTTATATAATACATGTACTGAGTAAACACAGTCTTGTCTGAGCAGAGGTCTGTGGGTAGGATGCATTCTGCTTCCATTTTGCCCTTCTGTGTTTTTTCCTGGTAAAGAAATGAGACTTGTAGAGGGTGAGCCAAGAGCTTAATGTCACCATGTGGACCGAACTGAATGCAGATCAAGAGTTGCTGCAGCCAGAATTAAGTCTGTGCAAGAGAAGGGTGGCCCTGAAGGCATGACATTGCCTACTGCTTGATGCACAGCAGCATTTTGCTGTGCCCACCCATGTACCACGGTCTGGGAATTCTGGAATTGGATTTTGGCCCTGCAGCTGCCATCACCTAACTAGCCTGGTATACAGTCTTCTACCTTGAAGGGAGCAAGTGTGCACAGATCTTTTACCTTCAAGTTTCAGTGAAATTGTCTATTTCTTTGTAATTTTCCTGCTATCTCATATTTCTTTGTAATTTTCCTGCTGTTATCTTATGGTGAGATTTGATTAAGTTCTGATGTGCAAAATTGTGCGTTAGTACAAGTGAATGCAGCATCTTTTTTTAACAAAAGTGTCAAATATATGTGTAGTTAAGCTTTAATGAATTAACAAGAGAGAAAGTAGCAGCTACCCCTTCTTATTGCTTTGTACATTCTCCATTTCAAAGCTTTTCCTCAGTTTTCCCGATTTCACATTACACATTCCATTCACATTTTGTTTTACTTCCTAGATGCTGTGTTGGAGTTACAGTTGAGTTATTCCTGTGCTGGATGGCCTGAAAACCCAGCATCCTCCGATTACTTCTCATGCTGGCTGTTGTTTGCAATTTCTCATTTCCAAATGTAAAAATAATAAAGGAGATGAAAGCACTCATTTCTGTTGTGAAGCTGTCCTTTTAACTTCTGTCTAGTCTTTGGTAAAATTTGTTAATGACTTTTGTGTACCCTGTTTTTGTTGCTTAGGAATGGTTTCTAACTGGACCAAGATTCCTGCACCGCTTTTCAATAAAGTTGTCGTTGTTCTGATAGATGCTTTGAGAGATGACTTTGTGTTTGGATCCAAAGGGAAACAGTTCATGCCATATACTACGCAAGTTGTTGAAAAAGGGACTTCCTACAGCTTCGTTGCTGAAGCGAAGCCACCTACTGTGACTATGCCTAGAATTAAGGTAAATTTTTCTTTTTTTTTCCCATTTCGTTTGAGAAAGTTTTGAAGTGTTTGTTTTGTATGCTTGGAGTTGGCGTAAAGGACAGGTTTGTTGTGTTAGTGCAATCTGTGGCTGAATCTCTCTTTGCTGTAGGAGTGCATGTGATAGAGTCCTGATTTGCCATCGCCCAGAGGTTAAGGCCCTAGTGCATAATCTCTTTATTTGCAGTCATGGGAAAGCCAGCAGCCTCTCAGTTGTCAAGTTTTCCACTGGTCTTCTATCCAAGAACATTTTTATTGGTATTTCTCTGTGTTCTTGTAACTTGGATAGAAAATCCAGTTTACTATTAAATTGTTTTGTCATAAGGATGTTTTTGAAGAGCTTAAAAAGGAAACTGTGTGAAGTTTTACGTAACTAAAAGATTAATTGTGGTGGTATCATCAAAATACTTGATCATCCAGGCTTGTCAGTGATGGATCTGAGTGACACCTCTTCATTGAAGAAGCTGGGGGAGTGATCTTTGTAGGTCAACTAGAAGGCCAGTGAGAGAGTGAGGGGGAGACAGTCTGGTAACTATTCATAGGTGGACTTCATTTCATTTCCTAGATGTTTCTTATTTAGTGTTTCAAATGTACTATCTTTGTGAATGTTGAGTCAGTTTACTTAGACCTTCTAAACTATCTTTTTGGTGATTTAATGACTAGTAAATGAAACAAATTTCAGCTAAGTCATACAAAGCCATTTTGCTGTCCACTAGTTAAGACAATATTATTTTTACCTTTTGTAAAGCAATCATTATCTCTCACATCAACTAGCACTGTATTGTGGCAGGTGAGGTTATGTGTCAGGGCAGCCTGTGTTCTTTTACTTTGTTATGTTTCTTTACTTAAAGTATAATTTGCCTGCCATCTGGTTTATTGCTTCCTCCTGCTTACACTGCTACTGTCTTCTCATCCCTGGAAGCTTCTTGGTTAATGTTGTATCTTTTCTTGTTTTGTGTAGGCTTTGATGACAGGTAGCATACCTGGTTTCATTGATGTTGTTGTGAACCTCAATTCTCCAGCTCTGTTAGAAGACAATCTGATATGGCAGGCAAAAGCAGCTGGGAAAAGAATAATCTTTTATGGTGATGATACATGGGTTAAATTGTTCCCAAAGCACTTCATGGAATACGATGGAACTACATCGTTTTTTGTGTCAGACTTTACAGAGGTGAGAGGCTTTGTATGATCCCAAGGTAAATAAAGTGAATACAAACACACGGTGGCAACTTCTAAGAGTGAGTGAGTAAAGCTATCCTAGTTCTGAAATCTGCACCTGGCAATTAAATAGAAATTGGATTTACATGTGTGGTTGGTATGGGCACTGTGGAGCTAAGCATTTCAGTCCTTCATGCATATGCTGTGGGAAGTGTTTGGATGATGCAGTTACTGTATAACTTTCCTAAATGTACGATTTTCTTACAAAACTTCTTGTGGTAAGAAGTTAGACCAGTTGCTTTGTTTAAAAATTCCACTATCCACATTTCCAGTTTGCTGTTGTATTTATATCAGTTAATGCCGTCCTTAAGTGACCAATTAATAGATTATCTCGGTCTTCTAGAGGCATACTTTTGTAGTATTGCATCACTTTTGTAATTGCAATAGGAGTAGTGTTTCATTATGTTAACAAAGAAGGAGCATAGAAAGTAAATGAAACAAATTGTGAAAATTCTTACTCTGGACACACTAGAAGAGTAAAATGCTTTGGCAATTTTAGTTCATTCTTGAACCTTTATGGTTTGTTAAACCTCAGGCTGTTGACCCACTGCTACTGACACATTTTATTAACATATGTAAGGCAGTTAAAAAGGTCTAAATGGATTGGAAGACACTTTTAACTGGTTACACTAGTAAGACTTGCAAAAGCTTCAACATACAGTGGAAAAATGCAAGTATGCTGCTGGATCTGTGATTTTGTGACTCTCAAGCTCTTTAGGCAGTCTTTATCTATCTGAATATAGTCCCTTATACACACAGTTTTAATAGATTTTTTTGGTAGTTATGATCCAGAGTCAGCAAAGTGATGTTGCATGTGAAATATTATAAGGATTTTTAATATCCAGGGAGAAGATATGCAACTAAAAATGCATTGTCAACCTAAGCAGGAAAACAGGTAAGTTAGGCTCCAAATAATTTAAATTAAATTTTTAAATAATTTTACTTTCTCACTGTGTTGCCAGTTCTTTCACTTGCAGCAAGTACAATCTTTTTGTGTTTGCCTAGCAAAAACTGAGTTGAAAAAGCAAGTGTGGGTTTTTTGCCCTCCTGTGATTCCAAGCACTAAACAGAGGCTTTTCCCTGTGCTTACAATACTTTATGTACTTGATAATTTGTGAAGTGAGAGATCAGGAGTGTGAAGGATGAAAGTGGTTTAAGTTTCTGTGGAAGCTTGGCAACCTGTTTGCCTTGTTTGTGTATAATCTGATGCATCGTGACCAGAAGCAAGTAATTGGGGTGAAGAATCTCTTTTGTAAGAGAAATATATTTGACTGCTTGACACTGAACTAATTAGTTTGATTTTTTTTTCTCTCGTTAACATTGCGAATGACTGTAATTCTCATCAACTTCTGCAGAATTTTAATGGGTATTGCAATCTAATTTTTCCATGTTTTTTTACAAGAGAGAAGTTATTTTTACCTTTTAATTGTTTTCCTTTTCTTTGAGGTTGATGACAATGTTACCAGGCATTTGGATAGAGTGTTAAAGAGAGAAGACTGGGATATCCTAATACTACATTACCTGGGATTGGACCATATTGGACATATTAGTGGGCCAAACAGCCCATTAGTGGGACCAAAACTTCGTGAAATGGATAACATACTGAAGAAGATTCATATTTCTCTTCTTTCAAAGGTAATATAGCTTCCTCTTGGATCAATGTCTTGTTAGTTGTGGACTGACATTAAAATGCTCGCTGGTTGTGGATGGTAGCTCGTTTATTCCTGGACTGAAGTGGGTATTCTTCAGTTCTTTTCCTTCCCTTCCCAGGACATTCCCCAGTTAACAGTACAGTGTAGCGTTTTTAAGGATTTACTGGCTGACTTTAGTAACATCTGTTAAGAGCCTCCTCTGAGCAGCTGTGGGAAATAACTCCCTCTTGGTGTGCAGCGAGAGGAATGGATGCCAAAATTCTCTTATCCCTCATGAATTAGGGCAGTGGTTGGTGTGCTTTCTAGTAATGAAATTCAGCGGGAGGAGTAATGGGCATGTAAAGCTAATGGCCCTAATGTCTACAGTTATGAAGGTATACCTAATTCTTAGATATTTGAAAAATTCAAATGGAAATGGTGGTTGTAAACTACATTTTGTCTTATGGTAAATTCAACACATCTGAACCTGTTTTTAGATTTGGATATACAGGTTGTCAATTACCTAAACATCCGTGTCTGGATGTTGAACTACCAAGTCCTAATTCCAAGTGGCCCGAAGCATTTTTCTTGTTTGTTTTTGGCAACTGCAGTTCAGAGCAGCTGCTCACAAAATTTCAGTAGTACTTTTAGACAAATGGATACTGTTGTATGAAAGGAGAGATTAAATCCTGTGTGTGGAAGCTTCATGAATGTTGTAGTGGTTTTGCTACAGTTTTTTAATACGTTTGCTTTTGTCAACAGAAAGCCTTTATCTCAGTTTTAGAATACAGGAATAATAAAGGCACTTTACTTTTTTGGGTAGAACAGGTACTGGTAATAACTAGAGATGACAAAAAACGACTTTGTTGCGGATTGACTGTTTATTTTCTGCCATCTTTGATTTGTTAGCTCAAAATTCTTGGACAGGCCTCACTTACGCTTCTGTTGTTCTCTTTATTCAGAAACATATGCACTGTTTAACGTCAGTCATGATCCCAAAAACACTTGAGACACTAGAGAGTATTAGAAATAGGATTATTTTTTCATATTAAGTTGATATGATTTTACCATTTGCAATATTAATAATTCAGCATGTATACTGAAAACTCGATGAAGGTGAAGAAAAGAAGTGGGAAATATTTCTCTGTTAATGCTACTGTTCCTGCACTCCTGATTTTCTTCCTGCAGATAGCCTTTATTTAATCTTTTGGTGAATTTCTTGAGACTGTAAATTAAGGGGTTTTTAAAGTTTGGGATTTTTTTTGGTGAGTTTTTTTCCTAATATATTGACAAGTCTGTTAGTAAGTATGTGCCTTAACTTCTAAAAATTACTATTACCGCACGACATTTAGCTGCAGACGTCTCTTGTTATCTACCCCAGGTGTTGTGAGCAAGTTTAAAAAAATTAAATTCGCTTTGAGTCATATTCATGTTTGAAAATGATAGAGATAGTGAAGTGATAGATGTGACTCGTCTTAGTACAATAACTTAAATTTTTTTCTGTGATTTGCAGGAAGAAGCTTCTTTGCCCAATTTGCTAGTTGTGTGTGGGGATCACGGGATGTCTGAAACGGGCAGTCATGGTGGTTCTTCAGAAGGAGAAGTGCACACACCTCTTCTGTTTATCAGCTCTGCTTTTGAAAAGAGAAGTGGTAAGGATCAAAGAACTTTTTCAGAACTGTCTTGGTTTCCGATGGAATAGTGTTAATTTTCTTCTTAGTAGCTGGTACAGGGCTGTGTTTTGGATTCAGTATGAGAATAATGTTGATAACACACTGATATTTTAGTGTTTACTCTGAATCAAGGACTTTCCTGTTTTCCCATGCTCTGGCAGGGAGCAGGTGCAAAAGAAGCCATGAGGGAGCATAGCTAGGACAGCTGACATGATCTGGCCAAAGGGATATTCCGAACCACGGAGCATCATGCCCAGTATATAAACTGGGGGCTGCCAATCTCTACTTGGGAAGGGCCTGGACATCAGTCAGCAGGTGGGGAGCAATTTTATTGTGCATCATTTCTTTCTCTTGGGTTTGATTCCTCTCCCTCTCTCCTTTTCATTGCTACTATTATTATAATATTTTATTTGTTTCAGTTATTAAGCTGTTCTTATCTTAACCCAGGAGGTTTACCTTTTCTTTCTGATTATCCTCCCACCCAGGGTGGGGGTGTGAGTGAGTGTGCTGTTGTGTGGTACTTGGTGTAAGGCTCCAGTGGATACCAGTGCATAGTGCACCCTAATAGTCTGAGAATACTACTACCATATATGACTGTAATAGTAACAACAACAACAATAATTAAGTGTAGATTATAATAATTATTATTGTAATGAAAAGGAGAGAGGGAGAGGTATAAAGCCCAAGAGAAACGAGTAATGCACAGTGCAATTGCTCTCCACCTGCTGATAGGTGCACAGCCTGTCCCCAAGAAGCAATGGACAGCCCCCAGTCAACTCCTTCCAGTTTGTGTACTGGGAAAGATGCTCTGTGTTATGAACTATTCCTTTGTCCAGTCCAGGTCAGCTGTCCCAGTTGTGTTCCCTTCCAGCTTCTTGTGTACCTGCTCACTGACAGAGCACAGGAAATGGAAAAATCCTTGACTAAGGGTAAGCCTTACCAACAGCTAAAACATTAGTGTATTATCAACATTATTCTCATATTGAATCCAAAACACAGCCCTGTACCAGATACTAGGAAGAAAATTAACTCTATCCCAGCTGAAACCAGGCCAAGGACACATTGGCAACTCTGATTTATACTTGCTCTACAATTCTTCCTGAAAAGTACTTTGATTTCTTCTACAGCTATCTGACCAGGCCCATTCTATGTGACCCAAAGCTCTGGTTTTAGCCAAAGCTAGCATCTGTATCATGATAAAACCGTGAGTTAAATTTTGTAACCATTGAGAGAATTGTGTATTTTTTGGATGATAATTTTCTACAGTACTGCCCTAGCTGAGTGTTGAGAGCTAATAAGATCTGTTGTCAAGATCCTGGGCTACTGGTAAATGAATAGGTTTAGAAGCAAAATCCTATTTGAAGTTAGTTTTGTCTCTCATTTTCCAGAATATTTCCTTGGCCTCCATTCTTCCTTCTCAGCTAGGACAGAGAAATGAATTAGTTTCTCATACTGAGAGTTAGCAGGCAGGAGGAAGAATTGCTCTGTGAAGGGGTGAGAGGTGATAGCAGTGAAAACATGACTATTGATGGCTAAGCCTTAAGGAAAGAATATGGAGCATGAGTATATTTACTGTATTGGCCAAGTAGTTAATTTTGTATCATTGATGTGAGTTGATATGTTTCTGAAACTGATTTTCTACTTGTAGATAATAATGAAAGATAAAAGTAAGATAGCTTAAGGTAAGAGGCAAGAAGGAAATGGAGTGGTAGAGAATCTTTAGTCTAATTTCTGTAGTAGTGCTTAAAGAAACTCCTTGACTGAGTGAATTGGTGAAATGTGAAGTGATATTCACCAGAAGTGAATATTTTCCCTTACAATGCTTTCTTCTGCCTTTCATTCTGCCTCTTGCTCATTTCCATCTGATTTCTTTGCTTTTAAAGCCTGTTTGAAGAACCTTCGTTTGTTTATCTTGCTGGAGGTTCCTGCAGCACAGTAAAGTACATTTTTCTGTCTGTCATTTATAAGGCTGTTATTCAACTGCAATAGAAAGCATTGCTTGAGGACTCATTGAACTCTTCTTGGGTCTAAAAACAAAACAAAGTCAAGAGTAGACCAAAGCTCTTGGATAAGCTCTTGCTTTATGAATTTCACCAGTATGTGTTGACTGCCAGGCCATGAGAGTGTAGATTCTGTAAATGCAATCTCGTGTTCATTGGGATTGCTTTCTGTTAGGTTTAAACTAAGCATGCTGTTTTTATAACACAGTGAAATACATCTCTTCACCTGTCTTTTGGGATAGAGTTTGTGATTTCGAATGATGCCTTTGTAAATATCCATCAGTTTACTTCTCATTGGTACAATAATTAGGATTCTAGTGACTGCTCCTTATGATCCTACTGTAAACAAAATGTACTGTGGTTAATTTGGTAGACCTCAAAATAGTAATCCTGTGGGCTTTTTGCATTTAGTATGCTGTCAGAATATTACTCGTGTAGCCTTCTACAGAGATGCGTCACCCATGATTGGCTAAATGCAGTTGGTAGTTTGGCTTTTTTTTAACTAGTTAAGTACTTGCCTTTAAAGATAAAATCTGAAAACTGCTGACATACAGGCACTCATGCAAAGACGCTTTACGGATTATAGATGGCATTCTGTACAAATATGGGATTAATCGGAGCTAGATAGATGAGAAATGAGAGAAGTTCTAATGCTCTTAAAGGGAGCCTTGAGAGTAATAAAGACTATGTAGAATTCTTTCTGTACTGTACTTAAGTTAAAACACTCAGTGCCTGGAGTTACAACGAGGACAAAACAAAAGCGTAATAGAAAAGCACTGCTACGTAACTAGTTCAACATGCAAAGGAACAATTGGCACAGCAATCTTAAACAAAAGGTTACTTATGTTAATGAAATCATTCACATGTACCAATGTCTGTGGGACTGAAGGTTAATCCTGATAACTGCAGTGAGTTAATGGGATCCTGCACAGAACCCTTTAGAAATGACTGAGTTTGCCTGCATGCAGCTACAGATTTTGAGCCTCAGCATTCTTTACCTGATCTCTAATTCTGTTTGCCTAGCAACCTGATATTAATTGAATCTTGAGCTGTTGTCATTATATTGAGAAGCTTCTAGAATGTTGTCAACATTATTTTAGATTCTCATTCTTTGTTCATGCATTAAATTAGTCTCCTGTAGTGGTTCCTGCTATTTCTAATGTAAAAGTTATGAAACCCTCTTAGGATGTGGGCTGCAACTTGATGTTAAGGTGATCTCCTGGACCATCTGTTTTCTTACTTGCATAACATTCATGTTGTGTTTACAGTAGTTGTTAGCACTGAAGAGTGATACTGGCTGAGAATTTAATAAATTTTGGATTTACAGCAGCAGAGGACAGCAGCTGAAAAAGATCAGTCAGCTCTCTATGGACCGCTTGAAATAGCTGAGCTAACAGCAATGAAAAAATTTTGAAACTAATAAGGTGCCAGCTGTCTCTGGAGAAATAGAATGGGCCTTTTATTGAAATACCTCTCTCATTTTTTCCCCCCCTGTTCTTTTCTTTTGTTGATTCTAGGTCCTCTAACCCAGCCTGAACGTGTGCAACAAACAGATTTAGCCAGCACACTGGCAGTAGGTCTTGGTCTGCCAATTTCAAGAAATAGTGTTGGGAACCTTATACTGCCAGTTGTTGGAGGCAAGACAATGAGAGAACAACTACGTTTTGTGCACTTGAATGGGTTCCAGCTTAGCAGGTTGCTGCAAGAGAATACACCTGCATATGAAAAAGGTAAATCAGCTATAAAAAAATGTTACATAGATACTGAAAGAAGATTTTTAATTAAACAGTTTGGACTTTCAGATTCAAGAGTATAGCACGGTGCTGCAAAGTAGCTGTTCATTTGAGAGCAATATTCAGAGAAATGGTACTGAGGTCAATCTTTACTGTAACTTACTTTGATACACTGCCCCTGAATACAGCTTTTTTAATGACCAGTAATACTCCTAGTAGGCAAAAGAGCAGAAATAATGATGAAGGACTAAGATTAAAGGAAAACTGCCAGTGTGGTTAAATCTCAGTGGTTTCGTAACTCCTCTTTGTGAGGTGTCCTACATAGGGCATTTACTCTGAGCTATTTGGAGAATTAGCACAGCGGAGTGAATTTTCTAGTTTAAATAAAAAGATTCTTCAAGTAAAACTTGGAAATAATTTAGGGTAAGTTATCTTTTTATTTCATTTTTAGGTACGAGTTTATTTGGAGTGAGGACCTAGAGAACTGCAGAGTTGCCTATTAAAAATACATGCGTGTGTGTTTGGAGGAAAGAATAAAAAACAAGTGGAAAAAATAACCCCAATCTAGCAAAATGTAGTATTTCGTTAAGAAGCATGATACAAACTGCAATATAAATAAGGAAGATAATATGATAATTATGTGAAAAAGTTGAGTCAGAGGATGAAGGAGAATATTTTACCATAGACCTTAGAAGATGTTGTTATAAAGTGGCTGTGAAGCTTGTCACTTGATTTATAATCTATTGAATCATTAAAATAACAAGATGAGAATGCAGAGCTGTGTTGCAGCTATGAATAATTAAAATGGATAGCAACGTAAATTTTAGCAAGGTGATCATTGTGGGTCAAGAATCAATTATCTTTCAACATCACAGCTTCTAGTTGTAACTAAACCCTGTCCAGGAGCTGAACCAAAACTGCCACTTGTGGTAGCAATGTGTCAACAGCAGGACCCATGCTCCAGCTACTTTGATATTTTATTTTTTTTTTTTTTGCCCAGATTTCCTCTCTTAACCCATTTGTCAAGTGAGGAACTTGCCCTGTTGGGGGAGTTCAGGATATGGCTGTGTTGCTGAAATTTCTGTCACAAAACTCCATCTGATGGTGTTTCTTCACACACTGGTGAAACAGACTGAAGTTTCTACCAGCTTCTGGTTTATATCTTCACAAGTAGTCTTGTTTTTCTTAGGGTGTTCTAGATGGGCAAGGCTGTTGCTTAATAATTTGGTCTGTATGATTAAGATTGGCAGGGAAAAGTTATGTGCTGTTTGTTTAATGTTGTTTGATTGATATGGATACTTCGGGCCGTAGAAATATTAAAGAAAAGGTCACTAACTCAGTGACTAATATATGTAATTTAAAAGCGTGCATGAGTGGCCTTTTGTTTTGCATGGTTTTTAAGTGAAGATGAATGCCATCCCACCTATCCCACTACAGGCACACACACATGTATGCATATCTGTTGTGATTCCTGTAGAAAGAGTTACCTTGCGGAGAAGTGATTATATTCTGTAATCTGATTCATGTTTGAGAAGATTGCCCTGTTTTTAAAAAGGTTAAAAAGGAGGACTCTGGGAACTACTGAGCAGTAAACCTCATCTCTGTCCCTGGTAAGGTCATGAAACAGATCCTCCTGGAAGACATGTCAAAATACATGGAAGACAAGAAGGTTGTTAGAGATGGCTAACACTGCTTTGCTAAGGGCAGATTGGGCCTGACTTAATTTAGTGTCCTGTGATGGGATAAATGCATCAGTGGTCTAGAGAAAAGCTATGTTTGTTATCTACCTAGACTTCTATAGGGCCTCCCTCAAAATTCCTGCTGCTATTGTTAGAGTGATACAGGTTTGACAGGTGGACTCTTTAATGAATAAAAAGTTGGATCCATGGCCATGTCTGTAAAGTCAGTGGCCCAGTGTCCAGTGGCTTAGGAAACCAGTAATGAGTGGTGATTTAGTGAAAGATGTCTGTTTTCACACTGCTAGGGATGAACTAGATGATCTTTAAAGGTACCTTCCCTTTCAGCCTGAACCATTCTATGATTGTAAGTTGGGAAGCTGAAGAGGGAGAGTTGCCCTTTATGTGAGAGAGGCATGGAGCTCTGGGAGTGGATGTTGAAACGGTTGAGAACTTCTGGGTCAGGATTAATGCACAAACCAATATGGGCAATATTGTTATGGGTGTCTAATACCGACATTGTGATTGGGAAGAATTAGTAAGTTTTCAGACAGCTAGAGGAAGCCTCATATTCATCATCCATGGTGCTCATATGGTGCTTCAGCCATCCTGTTGCAGTTCAGGCTAGATAACTGGACAGTGTGGCTCAGCTGCTGGGCTCATGTGATTGTTATCAGCAGCACAAAGTCCACACAGGCCAGTACTATTTAACATCTTCATTAATGGCCTGAGTGATGGGACAGTGCACCCTCAGCAAGGGGAGGACACAGTACAAAACTGGGAGAAGTGCTTGATGCAGTAGGTGGGTCTGCTGTCACTCAGAGGTACCTTGACAGGCTGGAGAAATGGTCTGACAGGAACCTCTTAAAGTTCAGCAAAGGGAAATGCCAAATCCTACACTTGGAAAGAAATAATCCCATGCATCAGTACGGATTGGGTATTGACTGACTGGAAAACAGCTTGGTGGTGAACCACCAAGGGGTCCTTGGGGCACCAAGTTGAACACCAGCCAGCAATGCACCCTTGTGGAAGGAAGGCTGATAGCATCCAAGGCTGAATTAGGACAGTCATCTGCAGGTCAATCCTTCCTCCTGTCAGCTGTGAGGAGCCCCCATCTGGCGTCCTGTGTCTGTTTCTGGGCTCCCCAGAACAAGAAATAGTGAGAGCAGTGAATGGCCATGAAGGGTGATGAAGAGATTGAAATGTTTGTCGTGGAGAGGCTGAAGGTGATGGGACTGTTCAGCTTAGATAGACGAAGACTCAACAGGGTTCTTATCAATGTAAGTAATATGTGATGGGAGGGAATAAAGAATATTGAAGCAGGGTCGAATTGGTGGTCCCCACAAAAATAATTTGCTTGAATTAAAGGAACTTTTTTTTTATAAGGTTTGTCAAGCACTGGAATGAGTTGCCCAGAGAGGCTGTGGAGGCTTCATATCTGAAAACATGCAAGACCCGACTGGACACAGATCTGAGCAATTTGCTTTAGCTCATCCTGCTCAGAGCCTTTGATTTTCATTTTTATGACATCTGGACACTCATCAGAATTGTGCTGACAGGTCTTGAGCTATATAATTTCTGAATGCCACAGGCAAGGTCTGCTACCAGGTTTTTTGAGGGAAAGAAATCTGAGAAGATAAGTCAATTAGACATCTCACTCACATTTGCTGCTGCAATTTCAAGCTTTCCAATGCAGATTCTCAGCTAGTAACAACTGGTGGATCATAACATTTCAGTTGAATGCTCAGAGAAATGTCTGTGATTGGAGTTGAAAGTGAAAGATACTTGCAGGGATAGCCTAAACTGTGGTACTTCAAAAAAAATTATTATTATTTTCAACTCTTGAGGTCAAAAACAGTAGGCTCTTCTGAAGGGGAAAACATGGGATTCCTGTGGAGAGTATTTTAATTTACAGCACAGAGGTTATGGCACCAGCTATTAGGACCATGAGGATGATGACTGAATCAGTCATAGTAAGAAAAGTTTCATCCATTGTAAGTTATATCATAACATATACATTCATTTTGGGTGCCATATGAGTTTCCTTTTTAATGCAGTAAGATGAAGTCAGACGTCGATTGAGTTGAATCACAGTCAGATGGGAAGGCAGAATGACCTTTATAAGCTGTTTCATGAAGCAGCCATGTAGTTCCCTGGATTCAGCTGCTCCGATGTTAAGAGTAAAGTGGAACAGTACACAAAAATATCTTCAAGTGTGTTTTAAATATATCTGTTAATAAAGAGCAGAATGAAGGCAGGTCAGTAACTTTCTTTTTCCCCTAGTGTTTGTTATACAAACATGCTTTCTCTAGCCAAGAGGTAGTACAGCATTTCATGGGACTCAGATTTTGATTTATTGAGATACAAAGGAATCTTCACAGTTAAATCTATCTTCAAGTAAATAAAATTTTACATGAGAGACTTGAAGCTTGACTAAGGGCTTTATTATTTTTAAAATAACTTTTTGAAAAATACTAATAAATGCTAATGTCAGGCCTTAGTTTTTGTTTTGATAGAGATGGACACATGCAAGTAAGGAAGAAGTCTGAAAAAGGAGAATAAAAACAGCTGGCAAAAATGAGGAAGCTGAAAGAAGTATCTAAAAACACACTTTGGGTTTTTGAGCTAGTTCATACCTCAGTGTAAGGTAGGCAGCTCTAGGTATCTAGCAGTGCTTTCCTCATGTTCTGAACTTCTCAACATGCATGTGAAGGTTAAACTAGGACTTTTTTTGAAGAGCACTTCACAGTGGACTGAAGAGTCATGCCTGAGAACAAGTTGGATGTTGTTATTAAAATGAGTGCCCGTTTTTCAATTTGGGACTGATCCTGAACTTTTTAGATGCATGTGTTGATTGAAATAATTTTTCTGTTACTGGGACAGTTAGGTATTGAAACTGGAGAAGTCACCTTTACATTATTCAGTCTATTTTTAGAACTCTTTCTAAGTGATTGCTGCCTGTGACTGTAACTAAGCGCGATTGTTGTCAGACAGATGCTTGTGAAGCATAGCCATCTGCTTGTGATCAGATGGTAGTGAGGCTCAGGCACAAATTGCCAGTGTAATTCTGTGAAAGTAAACCATTGCTAGTGCTTTGGGAAATGTGTAACTGGGCAAGCTCGCTTTGGATTTTTCCTCAAGTTTAACTTGTCTTACGAGTATCCCAAGCAGGAGTGACTTTCCAGTGTTACCTGCCAGTTACCAACAACTTAGTGCCTGTGACCCTTCTTACTTTATACTTCCTGGGTACAATTGTGCCATGGAACAGGTATCATAGGACTTCAAAGGGAAATTTGGTAACTGTGGTCCTTTATTCCTGTCTGCAAGATCTTTAAATCATTCACTCATATGTGTGTTTGACTAAACAGTCGTCTTACATAACATGGGCAGAATGAGTTTGGTGGGCAGTGACATGGAAGGAGGTAGATGAGAATGAAATAAAAATGCTAAAAGAAATGAAGAGGGAGACTGGGCAAGAAGCTTGAAAAGTGAGCAGAACAGGAGCAGAAGATGTGGAGGGAATTTATTTATGTATCAAAATACAGCTTGAACTCATTTCAATGTTCTGTATAATGAAATAGTGTCATGTCAAATCTCAGTTTGATTAAAGCTCATTTTAGATGATCCTTTGTGGATGTTCTCAAAAGTATGAATATTTAACTCTTATTTCAAGCATACTGTTAGAGAAACTTTGCAGGGAATTCATTTTTCAAAGAACTACAGGAGGGAAATAAAATCATCCATGGGTCCTGGCAGCTCTCCTGATATGCCAGTATTTGCTGCTGGCTGAATTGTACTTTCTAGCAGATACCTGAAAGCCTCCTGCATTGCAGGATCAGCATGCTTTGGAGTCTGCTAGAAGTCCTGGTAGAACAGACTGGACACTGTGAGTTAAACATTGGTTTCTAAAATTCTCACTTTGAATTCAGTAGATCACAAAGTGTCTTGTGTGATAAGAGACTTACAAGTGGTAGGCACAATTCTTTCATAACTGTGCAAGAATTGTGAATAGACATATTTCATTCATCTTCATTCACTTGAAATAAAATTAAAAGTGATTCTGGATTTAATAATGTACTTTTGCTGAAAAGGCTTAACAAAAAATATAGTGGTTTTTTTCCACGTCTGATATACTGTTCATCTACCAGGAGTGAAAATGAACTATAACTTAAGACTTTCTGACACCAAAGTTATTTCAGTTATTGCTTTAACCTTTACTGTCTGAAACTGTACAGCAAATATATTACCCTACCTTTAGCTAAGAAGGGAAGAATTGCAAGTTATATAAAAATTTCCAAATTGACCCTTTTACGCTTAGGTTGTCATTAATTTTCAAGTGAAATTGCAGGGAAATAGCAAGGACTATTAATCTGAAGTGAAACTAAACATTTATTTTTTGCAAGAAATACAGATAAATGTGAATATTCACGCGCAGCATAATGTTCAGTGAGATGCAAATTTTGGAAAGTTACACTCTTGCTTTCCATGTGTTGTCAACTGAATTTGTATTGTGAATACATACTATACTCAGTGATCAATATTTTAAAAGCAGAATCACAGATTGGGTAGGGTAGGAATGGAACACTACAGGTCATCTAGTTCAACCTCCCTGCTCAAGCAGGGTCCCCTACAGAACTACTCAGGAATGTGTCCAGACAACTTTTGCATATCTCCAGAGAAGAACTCTGCAGCTTCTCTGTGCAACCTGTTCCAGTGCTCAGTCGCCTGCACAGTGAAGAAGTTCTTCCTCATGTTTAGGTAGAACTTCCTGTGTTCCACTTTCTGCCTGTTGCCTTTTGTCCTGTTGCTTGGCACCACTGAGAAGCATCAGACTCCATCCTCTTCACACCCTACCTTCAGATATTTGTATGCACTGATAAGGTCTCCTCTAATTTGTTTCTTCTTGAGGCTGAACAGGCCCACTCCCTCAACCTTTCCTCACATGAGAAATGCTCCAGTCCGTTAGTCATCTTTGTAACCTTATGCTGGACCTGCTCCAGGAGCTCCTTGTGTTTTATGTGCTGAGCAGCCCAGAACTGGACACAGCACTCCGGATGTGCCTCAGCAGGGCTGAGTAGAGGGGCAGAATCACCTCCCTCGACCTGCTGGCCATGCTCTTCCTGCTGCACCCCAGGATCCCATTGGCCTTCTTGGCCACACAGGCACACTGCTGGCTCATGGACAGCTTGTTGTCCACCAGGACCCCCAGGTCCTTCTCCACAGAGCGGCTTTCCAACAGGTCAGCCCCCAGCCTGTGCTGGTGCCTGGGGTTATTCCTCCCCAGGTGCAGGACCCTGCACTTGCCTTTGGTGAATTTCACATGGATCTTCTCTGCCTGTCTAATTAACCTGTCAAGGTCCTTCTGAAGTGCTGCAGAGCCCTCTGGGGTATCAGCCACTCCTTTCAGCTTTCTTGTCAGCAAACTTGCTGAGGAGGCATCTGCCCCTTCCCGAAGTCATTGGTGAACAAGTCAAACTACGCTGGATCCAGTATTGACCCTTGGGTGACACCACTAGTGACAGGCCTCCAACTAGACTTTGTGCTGCTGATTACAATCCTCTGAGCTCTGCCATTCCATCAGTTCTCAATCCACCTCACCATCCACTCATCCAGCCTGCAGTACCAGCTAATGCAGTGTGTGTGTCTCCTTTCGTGTTTCTTCCAGAGATTGGCTAGTTGATCGTTTCTCACTCAGCTTGTACAATATGCCCAGGATAGTCAGTGGTTCCAGAGGAAAGCATTGATTTTGGTGTTTTGGTTTTTTTTTTTTTTTTTTCTAAACAGCATCTGAAGCATTTGAATTGTTTGTCCTGGAAATGTTTTGCAAGAGCGAATGGATATTTAAATAAGTTTTTCAATTGTTAGAGGTCTTGACACTTTATTAGGTTAGAGATTAATTACTTTTATTCTGAGTAACTGGCTCATCATGGTATTGCTACAGGAAGACTGTGATTTGTAGGTCTGAAAAAAGCTTCAACCCTCATAGGAATTATATATTTTTATATATTATACAAGCAAATAAAAAAATATGATCACAACTCTAATTAATCCTCTTTTGTTCATGGATCCTTTTGCTTCTTTTCTTTTCTCCCACCCCCCAGATCCTGGATATGAACATTTTAAGATAGCAGAAAAATCCCATGGCAATTGGATCAAACTGTATTTAGAGGGGAATAATTCAGAAATACTCTTAAATCTTGGCAAAAAGGTCCTGAAGCAATACTTGGAGGCCCTCAAGACTCTGAGTTCTTCACTAAGCAAACAAGTGGCACAGTATGACATGTATTCGATGATGGTGGGGACTGTGATCATTATGGAGGTACGAAAATAGATCTTTCACTGAAAAGGTTAAGTGTACAAAAGTAAAAGTGTCTTGGTTTTGACGATTTAATGTATACACTTACTGGTCTTAAAAATTACTGAGTATGAATTCTTAGAGTTGGCTGACATTCTGCTTGGATGAGGTTAATACTCTTTTTAGTGATCTGGCCTTTATAATGATTCAAGAGCACTTTTGATATGAACTACTAATGTTTTGGTGTAGCCAGTTACAGTAAATATGTAGATGTGCTACAGCTTAAATTACTCCCCTATTAGTTAGCCTTCTATTTTTGAGTAGCTTTACTGCATTTAAAAAAAAAAAAAAAAAAGTCTGGCAAGTAAATTCCTACCCATTCCTCTTTATCTAACATTGAGTGTAGCTGCTCGAAACAGGGAATACCTTATACGGACAATTTTCACAATTCCAGGAATTGTTCTTCATGCTGATGGGTTTAGATCCCTGAAATAAATACTTGCTGTGAGGTGCTGGATTGCCACGTTGTATCTCCCGTAGGAATAAAGATAAGATATGCCACGTGTGGAATTTTAAGTGGATTTCTTCAACTGATCTCTTGGGCAAAACTCAAATGCTGGAAATAGCCTCAAAAGCCTGGAAATAGTGTAATGCTTTGAGAACCATGCTGAAGGAATAGCATACCTGGACACTGAACTTCTATGTACCAAAGTTTGCACTGACCTTTTAGATTACAAGGTTGTCAACTTCTGTGAGTAAAAGCATTTTTCCATAGGATGGAGGTACCTACTACAAGCATAGCTTAGTCCTTGAATGTGGTGCTGTACAAGACTCTGTTACTGTTCAGTGCCTGGAATAGATAACAATATGTGAGCAGCTCATTAATATTTGAGTCTCCTCTGTCCTGGCAGGGCTCTGTGCCCTGCATACAGAGTACTTCTGAAATGGCTTTGTGGTTAGACTGCTTGGTGGGGTTTGTCCCTCTGCTGATCACCTCACAGGAATGAGTTCCGCTGTGCCCTTGGGTAGATGAGATGGCAGGTTCTGTTCCTGCTCTATGGATGGAGGATCTGGAGGTGGGCAAAGTTCAGTGCAAAGCTGAAGTGCTTATATTTCTTTTTTATTCCTTTGTTTTGGAAAGCCACGGATTCAAGCTGTGGACAGCTGAAGCACTGGATTATTTTTTATCTTCTGAAATGCTTATAGATGCTTACTGTTTCTAGAAAACAAATCTTAGGTATTATACTCAGTGGGACTTCGTCAAAGACACATGCAGCTTACTAACCATGGAAATGTTCAAATTTTCATTGAGCAGTGTGTGCTCAGCATCACTGTAAGACTTGGTGCAAAGAGGCTGGAGTTTTTTATTTTCTCCAGTGTAATACTCAAGAAACTGCCTTGCTTTCCAAAATCTTTTTGTTGTGATGTGTTTCCCACCTTTGCTGAATAAATAACAGTAGTGACACTCACATGTCACTTCAGACTACACCGTGCTAGAAATGCTGTTTATCGGATGAGGAGGATACCTCTGGGACATGGACTGATAATACTGCACTTGCTCAAAAGACCTAAATTTAGTTTTGTAGATAACTAGTGCCTTCCTACCGTGAGTGCTGTCTTTGTTTTAGTTTTGAGGGCTGTGTTGAAATGTAAGACCTAAGCCAGTTCGATACTCTGAAGCTGTATATTTTCATAACCAAATGAAATGTGGAGTAGAATATGATGAAACAGCAGATGAGTGCAATGCATTTGATATTTTTTGGCCTACTTTACTGTATCTCACTGTAATGTGGGAAAAATTTAGACAGAGACCTTCACAAGTGGCAGTGAAAGATTACAGGTTGGCAGTGGTCTGTTTTTATCTTGATTTGTTTTAATCTTGCCCTGGCAGAGGCTGATTGAGGTCAGCGTAGTCCAAGCTCCATCTGTTCAGCTTGCAGAGCATTTTAGCAGGTGGCTGAAGTTTCTTATTTTTTGTAAAGGTTTGTACAGTAGCAGAAATTTTCATTGTATTATTCATTTCCACTGCTGCAGTTACCTGAGAGAAAACTTGGAATTCTGCCTGATCTGTGTGCAGGTTAGAGCAAAGTTAAAGTAAAACCAATAAATCAAATTAAGATTAGGAGAGGTACAAAAAATGAATACTGGGAGAATTCATAAGCTTGAAATTCAGCATACACTTGTGTGATAGTATGAGAACTTCCCCTGGTTTGAGAAGCTGTTTAACTCAGCAGGATCTCATATATGTGTATCTGTCATACAGGAGGTGAATTGTCTTTGATAGAGTGCATGTAACTTCAGGCATTTACAGGTGACAAATAATGGGTCAAATTTGTTTGCTTAGGAACTATTTTGATGTTGGGAGCTCTTACTTTTACAGGGAATAAAGATCATACATCTTATCAGTTACCACAGGTGAGGAGGCAAATGGTAATTTATTAAACTCGGGAACCTGTGTGTCCAAGCCCTTAATAAATGAAAACACCATCTTGGATTCTCCCATTTAAATGGTATTATCTTACTGGGGGAAAAAAACCCTATATAGCTCTTCACAGGGTTTTTTTGACAAAGTATGTGTACTAGCAGAGTGACACGGATGACTACAGCATGATTTTTTTTTTTTGTGAATTCTCACTGTATGTTTTAGCTAACCCCAATTTTTAAAGTATTAATTCCCTATGTTTTTTTTTTTTTCTAGGTTCTGCTGCTGCTTTTGCTCAGTGTTCCAAAAGCCCTGAGCAAGCGGGCAGAATTTGAAGTACCCCTCTCCCCTCCACTATTCTCTCTGCTGTTTTATTTGATGTGTCTGATGCTGTGTGCAGTTCATGTCATTGTATGCACGTCAGCAGAAAGTTTGTGCTATTTCTGCAGTATGTCCTGGCTAACAGCAGTTGGAGTGATGATGCTGATTTCTGCACTCATGTGTGGTATTTTATCTGCTGTTGCAAAGATCTTTGAGAATTCCCGACTTCCGCTGAAGGTGAGAGCGTGCATTAATTATGGTTCAAAATGTTTTGCTTTTCATGGTGTGCTTTCAGTTAAAATTTTGTTAAGTTTTCTCTCTGTGTGCCTAGAGAAATTTTTATTTTGTAATGTAATTTGAATAATTTAAAGTTGTAATTGAAATGCGGTGTTTTCACTGTGGCACGATACTGATTGTATAATAAAGATCACAGAAGTGCTTATTTTGCCATTACTTGAAGAAATGTTCTAAATACTGTAAAATACTTTGCAGTCGACTTCATGGGATTGGAAACAGTTATGCTGTGTACAAATTCTATGTTGTTACACAGTGATGTTTCAAAATTGCAATTAAAACAACATGTATGATACTTTGTAACAACATGCCCCCAGTGATGATCTGTCCTTTCCCAAATACAACAGACATTAAGGCTCTGAGAAGAAAATACCTTGCCAGTACCCTATTTTCTTCGGTGCAATTCACTTCAGTATATTGAAAGTGACGAAAAAAGGAGATGTTGATAGAACTTGTTGTATCATTCTTACTTTTATATTCATTGTTCACATAAGACTTAGATGTGTCCGATCATTTAAGTAGACTGAAATAGATTAACAGGTTAGCTACAAGTTAGCTCTGCTTTATCAAATCACAGAAAGAAGTTTCCTCTTGGGTATAGCTGCTAACAGAATAGTCTTTGTAAGTGTAAATCACAGTTTGGTTTTGGTACTGAAGGTTTTGTGTCAGAGTAGCAGTAATGTTTTGCTGCCAAAGCTAGTGATGCTTGTGTGGGTCTTTTTTTAGAGTCAAATGAAAGGTGAGGGTAAAATTCATCAACATGAATGGAGAAACCTTCTGAATGAGATGTCTAGTTTTGCAGTTTGTTAACACAGTTGGTACGTAGGGGTGTGCTGTTTTATAAGTGGACTCAGTTCACTTTTGCCATTTCTGATCTGTTCTGCTTAGGGTTCTTATTAGCTTTCTGTATTTTATTGTGAACGAGGTAGAAATTAGTCTTAGAAAAATAATATGGCCTTGGAATAATTCATGCTCCTGTGTGTTCTGTAGAAACCTCACGTTTACTTGCCTGTTTTCCATCTTGTTACCAGTTTTTCTAATTTTAGTGGACAGTAGGAATCTAAATATGATGACTTTCTAGACCTGCATAAAATTTACAGACATTCCACTTGAGTAGCATTGAGACCAATGACAACAGGTGATAGGTTTTTTCTCCAGGTGGATAGTCTCAAAGAATCACAGAATCATGAAATGGTCTGGGTTGGAAGGGACCTGAAAGATCATCCAGTTCCAAACCCTTTCTCTGGTCAGGGATATCTTTCACTGGACCAGCTTGCTCAGAGCCCCTCTAGCCTGGCACTGAACACTTCCAGGGATGGGGCATCCACAGCTTCTCTGGGCAACGTGTTCCAGTGCCTCACCACCCTCACTTGAAGCAGATCAGCTGCTTCAAGTTGATAATACACGAATGAGGAGGTTTTCAGCAATGCTTTCCAGGTTTGTGTGTGTGTTTGTTTTCTCAAGGCTGGGGCAGATAGAAATAAAAAATACTCGATTCTCCATCCCAGGTCTGCCTGTGAACAAATTCCTACTTGAGATACGTCTGAAAATGTGGGGAGCTTAAGTATGTCTTATGAAGTGCAGCTAATAGTAATTCTGATTGGGACAGACACGACTTTGTATTCAGACCTGTAGAAATACCCTTTTGTCCTTCCGTCTTCAGTCCTATTCCGTAGGTGACTGGATTGCAGGATGCGTATCTCATCTCGTCAAAGTCAAGTAGGCTTCATTCCAGTCATGGATAAAAGCAGTGACCTGGTTTTGATTAACATTTTTACCAGTTTGAGGGCTACTGTAGAATGATATTGTGGGATTTTTTTAGGGTCACTGCTTATACAAATATAGAACCTGGAGAAGGTGAAAGGAGCAGCGTATGGTCTGGTGTTTCTTGCAGTGTGGATGTGTCCCAAACACTCACCTCCATTTTTCATCCCCTTTTTCAAAAGAATGCCTAGACTTTGGGGGAGAAACTGGTTGTCTTTGTATGCTGTGTGTTGATCCTGAAGGGCCTTCTGCCTGAGTTAGGAGTACCACTTATGCTAAAGTAACTCTAAATCCAAGTGTGTGTGACCACAGTGCGAATCTGTGGATGGGGCCCACTTCTGAAAGAGCTCTGAAGCCCTGATCTTCTGATGGCAGGAGCAGAATCCTGAATCATGGTCTTGCCAGTTAAAAAAAAGCTAAAAAGCCTTTTCCAAGCTCAAGCTGTACGATAAAATGTAGGTATTTTAGAAGTAATTAAGATAAGCTCTCCTGTTAATGGCTTCAGAGCTTTTTTCCTTTAAATTGTTTCCGTTCACATCTAAAGATTTCTCTGAAGTGCTTCTCATTTGTAATGCTTTTTTTCCCACTGTGGCTGAATATAGAAACTGATTACCAAGTTCATGAATTTTCTGAAGACCAGTGCAGGCAGTGTTAACATCTGCTTCCTGACTGTTATTTATAGCTTGTGATTGCTATGTTTCTAGCAGCACCAGTCCCTTCTTTTAATGATACTTAAGGCTTTAAATAGTTCTGCAGCCCTTTATGAATTCCAGAAAATTATCAAACATTTTAACTTTTTGTTCATAGCCTCACTGTAATTGCTTGGTAGTTGACATAAGTATGGTGTTTACTACTACTAGTTGTGGTTTTTTTCTCCCTGTTTCTGATAGAAATAAAAACTAAGCATTTTTGAAACTAGAACACAAAAGTTAAAGCTTGTCAAATACAGTTTTTGAGAATTTTTGTTATGCAGAATTATAGTGGTTTTTTACTGCATAAACAAATTGTTCCTCTTTCAGTTTATTTTGAAGTACCCTGTTCATCTTACAATATTTTTGGGTTTCCTCCCCTATGTGATATTCTTGGTTAAATGAACAGTGATACATTTTTTTGGAGTTACATCTAAAATTTTTTAGCATTTTTTGACTTGAGGAATTAAAAAGATGATTGGATGATGTCTTTACCAGATAGCTTACAAAAATGATCCCAAAGTGCTATAAAAATGTAGCAGCAAGTGTCATCTCTAGTACTTTGCCATGTGAAGGTAACCACCATAGGGAATCAACACTGGATTCAGGGAGCTCAGGTATCAGAAGGGAGCAAACTGCTAAGTGTTTAGATTGTCAGTGATGGTGGACATGAAAAATAAAATGTTTCTTCTCTGAAAAGTGATTGCAAAATTCCGCAGGCATTAACTGTGGATGGTTAACATTACAGAAGCCAGACTGGAATTGGACACAGACTACAGGAGGTTTTATTTCAAAGTGAAGAAGTCTCAAAATTTACTGGTCAGAGGTTCACATACTTTATCATTATGGACTAGCAAGATGTGTTCAAAGACAGGGCAAGGGGTCAGTTTCTGTATTAATTACTAATGCTGGTACATCAGTTGTTAAAGCTACCTTGGCTTGGGAGATGATAAGCTTAGATTTGAAGCCTGGGACTTACGCATTTCTGAACAAAAGAGTCTGTATTAAGTTTGTTTGCCAAGATAGCAGTGAGAATCATACAGGTCTTCTAGTGTCTGGAGTGACTGCTGAGTTCCTGAGGACTGGACGTGTTCAGCAGCTAGAAAGACAGAGCTGTGAATAGCAGAGAAAGACTTACATTTCTATGCCTTTAAACCACATCTAAAGAACTAAGTACAATCTAAATAATCTAAGGTCAGACTGTATATGACACTGGACTTGTGACGTACCTAATAAAGCACAGTTCATATCTAGGGGATTGCCAGTAAATTTAGAAAACCTCAATGGAGATATTTTCAGAATTTCTTAGATTATCAAGGCACAGATTATAATTTGCAACATAATTTTTGATTCTGCATAGTGACTTAACTGATCTGAAATGTGGTTTATCAGTAAATGTCATTGAATTTTAATCCTTTGATGTGAATGTAAGAGTAATTTTTTTCTCTTTTCACTGGAATTGTGAGAGACAAGCAGGCAAGAAATACAGATTTTGACTCTGGGACATTCCATGCTAATGCCATCGTTCTCATGAGGGTTTTATATATTCCTCATTGATAAAGCATCAGTTCTTCAGTTTTCATATCAGTTGCTGACAGCAACCAGATACAAGAGACCAGTTGTTCCATAGATTTTCTGTTATGTCTTATAAAGAAGATGAATTATATCAAAGATTTGTTCATTGTCATTTATTGAGGGTCTCAGATTTCTTTGTCTCTTCAAGCGGATAATACTTAAATGCTCATTATTTAGTTAGCCAAGATCTTTAAGGTCAGCATGATGGAATTATTGGAATTTAAACTTTCTGTAGTTCAGTCATGTACTGTTCTTGTCTCAGCTTTGTGAATTTCATGCTCTTTGGTCTTTGCACAGACTACCTTGTCCTTTTATTCCAAATACCAGCTTATGGTATTTGCTTTTCAGAATAGAGTACTAAACAAACCGGAGTGGTCTTTCGAGCACCAAAGAAATATCAAATACTAGTAAATTTAGATTGACCCTCAGCATTTTTTTCAGTTTATTAGTATTTTTCTCCCCATTATTGTTGTGTGTAATCTCACAGAGACTTTTTTGGTTGTGGGTGTTTTGTTTTTTTTCTTTTTTAAAGTGAAATGACTTTGGTGTAATGTATTCTTTAACAACAGAGGAGATGAAAGGGCTGTGAATAGGTGATAACTGTAACTATACTTCCTGCGTTCTTTCACATACATCTCTTAAAATTTTGATTTTGCAAAAGTTGTTTTCCCCAAACCAAAATTCCAGAGAGGGTTAACTAGGTTCTTGCATCAAGTGTGTTTGTTGTCTTCTCCATGTTACATGGTCCTGCTTATTAAACAAACGTGCATATGCTGCTGTCAATAAGTCATAAACACAAGACAGAATTGCATCTAAGATGCTCAGAGATACTTGTATTGTTTACACCTGCTTTCTTGTTACCTGCTCTAAGATTAATGAGTTTCGATATTCTTCTAACATTTGATTGAAACAGTTCAGGAATTGTAGTACACTGTGCATTTTTCAATGCAAGTATTTTCTCTGTGAATTTTATCTCTGTGAATGTTCACCATGTTTTTTTTGAAGTTTGTTCATAGGTCAAATGTGGGAGGATGATGTGGTTGAAATATGCAGTTAAAGAAATGAATGTGACAGTAGGTTCAGAGATCTTTGTTCTGAAGTAAAAATGGCATGCAGTAGTTTCAATTTGGCTTTTAAATCGTTATCAGATGCTTAAAATACCAGTTTAAGAAATAGTTTGTGATATTCTCTAATGGAGCAAAAATTGAGAAAATAAAATGGTAACGGATGATTTCGACTGTGTTTTTCTCAAAATACTTCACGAGTATGTAACCCTATTTGTTAAGGTATGTTAGGGAGCTCACTCAGAAAAGTGCACTGACTGGCTCTTGCTTATATGTAACTGGCTCCTTTACCCTTTCTCCTCTCACTTTGCTCCCTGCTTCCATCCTATTCCCTATCACCCCCTTTTCCTCACTTTTGACACCTTCCTGAAGCATTGCTTCAGGAGTTGGTCAGATATCAGATATCTGTAATACCCGTGGTCTGTCACTCATGCCTTATCTGTTATAAAGTCCAGACTGACGCTCTTCAGAGCTATGCCTGTGATTTCCTAATGGCCCATCAGTTAATGGCTGAAGAGCTCTGGTCATCTTTGTGCTCTCCCTTAGTGCTTATTTATCATGTTTGTGTTTCTCTGTGGTCTTTTTATGGCTTTCCCTGTGTGCCGAATGGTTCTTTACAAGATAACATCAGTGAACTGGTTGCTCTCAACTTCCACATGCCCTTACGTTCTTTTTAGCCCTGTCATCGAGGGCAGTGATGATGAGGCAATTCCAATTATCTGCTGAGAACAAGAAATCAAACTAATGGAGGCATTAGACAAAAAATATTGTGGTTTTAGATAGGCACAGTGTGTGAAGTAAATAATAGATGGGTAAGGTTTAAAGGAGATTTTAAGCTAAGCAAGGTTAAGGGGTGCCATCAGACAGTAACTGTTGTTCATTTGAGTAGTGAACTCACTGTATTGAGTTGAGGATATCACAGGTTTAAACTATTAGAAAATTACCTATTATCTATATCTCAAGTTTGATTTCTGCAGGATTTCTATTTTTACTTCTACAAATGTGCAACAGAGAGCAAAGTTGTTTAGAACCTTCTGTCACAGGATGGTAGGGAATCTGCACAGTTATGATTGTTCATAGAGAAGTTTGAGCCCTTAAACAGAATGCAATTATAAAAATTATTACTATATTGTAACGCTAACTAAATATGCTACATTGAAATGATTCTTGTGTAAGTTTTTGAGATTTGTTAAGATAGAAATAACTTGTCTCATGATTTATTTTGTTTTCTTAGAGGAAATTGCTGTAAGCACACTGTGAATACTTACACAAGAGAAATTTTTACACCCTTTCACCACTGCTGTGTTTTGTTTTTTTGTTTTCAGAATCCAGCTGTGTCCAGTTCTAGTTGGTCAGAAATAGATGTGCTGATTCTGGCTGGAACGATTGGCCATGTTTTGAGTTTGGGGGCAAGCAGTTTCATAGAAGAGGAACATCAGACTTGGTATTTTCTTATCAATACGCTTTGTTTAGTGCTGTGTCAGGAGCTTTGTAGAAATAATTTTCTTCTAAAGGAATGTGACCCTCAGCATAGCACCAATGTGAAGCAAAATTTTGATAGTCTTGGGGAAACCTCTGATTGCAAGAATATAGACATTCCAGCAGCAGATAATTCAAAATTGGACAAGGCCACATCTTCATCTGAATTCATGAAAGGATCACATAAGTGGATAAGCTTAGCAACTCCATGGGTCATCCTTATTTGCTGTCGGCTACTTCGATCCTTGAATCAGACAGGTGTCCAGTGGGCTCATCGGCCAGACTTTGGACATTGGTTGACAAGGTGGGTACCTGATTTACAGTCACACTTTCTGCCTTATTTAAAAATTAATGTATGCTTCATTTGGTGAAGTACGTATGTATTTCTGTGCAGTCTGTGATTAGAACGTGCTGCAAACATGCAAAGCAGATAAATGGGGAGGTAACATAAGGAGTTTTTCACTGCTATTTCGTGCAGGAGTGATTCCTTGTGTGCTATCAGTAGTTTATAATCTTTGCCCTGCGCTATGACTTATCTAATTAATGCCAATTATACACGATAGGTTTATCAGAAGCAAAAAGTAAATATTTTCCATATGTAAGTCAGGAGTGTCTGGTTTGAGAAATTAAAAATCGCTTAATAGAATTAAACCCTTGAAATTAAGACAGGAAGGTTCTGCATAATTCTGAATGTTATGAAATCACAGGAGAAGATGCCTCACATAGAATTTTTCCTTGTCTATCACAGGCTTTTAACGTGTGGGTGGAAAACTGAAGGAATTTTTTGAGTGTAATATGATAAACAAGAAGAGGAATTTTTTATAACTTGAAGTACACCAGAGGAGAGGTTCTCCTTTTTCTGATACCTCTTAGTATTTTGCAGAACTACAGTCATTATTCAGTGATAAAAAGTGTGTGATGTTTGAACTGTCTTCTGTACTTCAGTTGGTGGATGGAGAAGCTATACCTTGTGACTGCCTAGTCAAGGTTTTGCAGACAGCAGATGAAGAGGCTGTGCTGTGTAAGATGAATAGATTTCTTGCCAGTATCTTACAACACAGGGATGAAATGTCATTCATCATTCATTAAAAATGACATGAGCAAATGGACTAATATGAGACTTGTTATTTATTGGCAACCTCACAGGTGAAATGCTCATTGCTGTGACAGGCATGAGTGCTGAAAGACGTGAGTTAGGAGGGAATTTGTCACATTAAAGTGGTTGTTCTATTCCGGAGCTTTCACCATGCATTTGTGCTCTTGGGATGAGGTGAGGGATTGAGGAAAGAATGTCATATTTTCAACATCAACTCCACATGATAGATAACTCCTTCATTATGAGCTAAGCCAATGTGTGAGCAGGATGAGGCGTGATTTGGTGCGACCATGAGGATTTTTACAGTTAATTCTGAGCATCTGCCCAAAACCATCCTGAGCCAGATGTTTTCTTCAGACTGTCAGCCCTTTTCTTTGGGATGTGCTGATGCCACAAAGGGATGAAACAAGGACCTGATACTCTTGCAGCTGAAAAATTGTGTTTGTTTCAGATATATGCTTTTACTCATGTGGTCCACCAGGAATATTTACTGACTCTTGCAAATTTTATCAGACTTCTAAGAATTCTGTATGCATGTTTGGACTTCACTTCCAAAGATCCTGCTTCAGTTTAATGTGCTCCTACCTCTGATTTCATGGTGCTTGGTATGCCTGTAGAGCAACAAAGCGTATTCCAGCCTTGGGCTGTAGGGTCTCAGGGAGATAGCACAGGTGGAGCATAGTCTGCAGATAAAGCAGGTGCTTCTAGGGCTTCCTGATTTATAACAAAAGCTGGGGAATCCTGGAAAATCCTGTATACCTAGCTCTAACATTTACTACCTGTCAGGAGCTTTCAAGCAACCAACTCAGCTAAACCCAAGGCTTTTTACACCTGTTCTGGCTTCCTCTGGGGTTCTGTTGTTGTTTTTGAGGAAGGAGTGGGGAGAAGGGAGGGAGGAGGCTATTTTTGTGTTTCATTTTTGTGCATATAAATTGGAATTTGTGTGAATTTGAATATGTCCATATCTTTCTCTGTACTGAGTAACCCATAACTGGACCCAGGGTTGACCACCAGGGAAGAAACAGCCTTCCTCAGTCTTCTGTTTAATGTTTTTCATGATGCAGCTCCAAATACTGTTGGCTGTCTTTGCTCCAAGGGCACACTGCATGCTGATTATCAAGTCAAGAGTTCATCAGTGTGCTCAGAGCCATCTCTGAAAAGAGGGTTGGCCTCCAGCCTGTCCTGATGTGTGTAGCTATTTGTTCCAAGGTGCAGGACTTGCCTCTTGCCCTTGTTGAACTTCATGAAATCCCTGATGGGCCATTTCTCCAGTCTGTCGAGGGGCTTTGAATGTCAGCAGACCCACCTACTGTATCAACCACTGCTCCCAGTTCTGTGTTGTGTGCAGACTTTCTGAAGGGACACTCTGCCCGATTGGTCAGGTCATTAATGTAGACATTAAACAGGATAGACCCCAGTGTGAAGTCCTGGGGTTGACAGCTAGCGACTGGCCTTCGGGTGGACTTTGTGCTGCTGATGGGAAACCTGTGAATCCAGCATCTGAGTAGTTTTCAGTCCACCTGACTGTCTACTTTTCCTGGCCTGGACCACATCAGATTGCCAGTGGGGATGCTATGGGAGCTGGTGTTAAAAGCCTTGATAAAGCACGGATAAACAACAATGCCTGCTTTACTCTCTTCCACTGAGCTTGTCGTCTCATCACAAAAGTCTGTGAGGTTGATTAAGTATTCTCCTTCGTAAAGCCGTAACAACCGTGTTATTAAAGCTGTCTGCCTCCCCCTTCAGTAAGGCTGAAGTACAGCAGCTAGATATCAAAGAACCAAAAAGCTTCAGAATTTTACAGGTGAATTGCTCCCTGTGTTCTCTATCAAATTATGGCCTCACATTGGGTGTATTTGCTTGGGTCTCAAAGCAAGTAGAAGAGAAAAGGTTGTACAGCTACAGTCTTAGGCTACAACTGAGCATTTGGCTATAACAGTATATTGGAGGAGCTCTTGCCATACAGAGCAAGGTACTTGCTCTCTTACTCTTCCCCTCACTGGCCCTGTATTTTACCTGTTTGCATGTCAGTATGGTGAACTAAATAATTGAATAGATATGACTGGAAAAATAACTCAAGATGGCATGGGAAACACTTGGCTTTCTGTTGGATCACATCCCACTCCAATTTACCATCAGGTTTCACAGGCAAATGGGCTGGCTAGTAACAGGAATACAGGAAGGGAAGAGTGTACAAATCAGCACTGCTGTTGTTGAAATTACTGTAGAAACAGAATGTGGAAGTATCTGCATCTTTTGAAGTGCTACAGACATAAACAGTTTTTTTCTTTCTGCTGTTGTCAAGCATTCCTTACAAGAACCTGCATGCCTTTCAAATATGATTGAGAAAGAAGCAATGATTCACAAACTTGTATTCTGGGGGGCTTAAAAACACTATGCAAAAGTCCAGAGTGCTGTGACAGCCTAAGAGTATATGTGATTAGGGCTGTCACACTTCTGCATTCACCCTTTCATTGATATGTTTAGGGAGCAGGTGAAAAGAACAGAACCCTGGCAGCCCTGGCACAGGCTGGCTTGGGCTGCTGTGGAGCTATATCCTGACTTTAACAATGGAGCAGCTTTTAATCTAACAGGAGAATACAATATGTCACCATGCTGATGTATACTTCATTTGCTTTATAGGATTAAAACATTAGCAGCATTTGATGGATACAGATTTTGGACTCAAGTGATGGGATGGTAGTTGAGTTCTTGAGTTCTGTTGTGTTTCACTGGACAAGCTTCAGGAAGATCAGTCAATGATGCAACTGAATCTTTACACATCCTGGGGTTTGTAAAGTGTCAGTGAATTCCTATTTGGCAAACATGTTTGGATTTTCTTTGTTTAGAGGTTTTAATGTCTTTGTTCCTTCTCCTTTACAAGAGAACAGGGTGGTAGAGATGTCTGTTTCCCTAGTGTTTTGATCAAGATTGAGGTGATGTGTTTTCCTTAACAGCATGAATTGAAAGTTGGTGATAAGCTGAGTTGCGTAAAGCACTTATTCCTCTTCCCGAAATGCATCGCTAGTCTGTGAGGTTGATTGTTGTTTTATTTTTAGCATGAGTTTAATTTGCATAGTTACATCTTAATAGCTCTCTTTTTACTAATAAGTGTTTAGAACCTTACTTATATCGTTTGTACCCTTGTTAGTTTGAGTTACAGCTACTCAGGCTTTTTCTAGACAGCCTTCTATTTCGTCTCTAAAGTAAACTAATGAACAAACTGCCCTCTTTTTTTATTCCCCTGTATTGACCTTTTAGACATCTGTGCTCATGCCCAGACTAATATTTTGCCTATCTGGACAGTGCTTAATGGCCTCAGCATTTGAGACAGAGACACTGTTGTCCAGGTTTGTCCATAGAAAAATGTAAGTACCAAAACACAGAAAATCAATGTGCCTGTGGTGTCTTGAATTTGGCTACTAGAGATGCATTCAGCAGTGCTGAAATAAGGAAAATGTTCTTTGTTATTTGCAGACAGACTCTGTGAAATCTGCTACAAAGAGGAAAAAATACTTTGATGGGAAAAAAGAGCAAAAGAAAATCAGTAGTTGAAGTGGAAGAGAACACTTAATCTAGATCTGACTGGAAATCAGGTTTTCTTTTTAATTAGTTGGTATTCAATTAGCTTCATTTAGCTGGTTATCTTGGTCAGAACTGATACTTCAAAGGTGTCAGAGCTGCTACATGGCAGCATCAGCTCCAAGAGAAGTGACAAGAAGCATCGGCATGGAAAGATGATAATATTTTCCTTTAATTATCTGAATAACTTAATAGCTTAACTGTCCCCAAATTCCCTTCCCCCGAAGCTAGCATACCAGAAGTATGAGTGTAGGCCACAAGATGTTACAGTAGGAAGATATAGCCCAAGTGTTCTTTTTTTCCTTCCCTCTCACCACGTTTTCTCTCAGGAAGCTGTTGGTTCATTTTGTGGTTTGGGCAAAACCCACTACATTGCAGCTGAGATCAGAGTAGCATGTTTTGCTTGTATTTCTGAGTAGACTATCAAAATCGTTTAGAACTTTGCTAAATGACTGGAGTCTCTGTGTCTGCGTTGAGCAACTACCACCGCCTTTCAAAATACAAGCTAAGTACATATGCTTTTAGCCGACTAACTGGATGAACCTTGGCTAGAAAACCTTGAAACTGTAGGTGATTTGTGCTGACCTGACTTCACCTGTATAAATCTTTTCCTTCTTTCTTCAGCAAACTATGAAACACTGGGGTAGGTTTTTTTGAGCAAATTTATGTGGTTCAAAAAAATTCTCCAAAGAAATCACAGAGGACTGTTACCCAAAAACCGGGACAGATTTGTATATAACCCCCTTCACTAGCAGTCAAGAATGCAAAGTCATGTGACTGATGTGCACATTACTTTGAACATAACTTTGCAGTGCCCCCATTTTTTCCAGGGGAGGGTATTAGAGTATAATTTCAGATGTTCATTGTAGGAATTGCAGCTGTTAGTGAGTGTCTGGCTTGACACAGCAATAGCAGTTACTTCATACAGATAGCAATGGCTTTTTTAAATTTTTTGTATTGCTGTGTTAACTTTGTCTGCAAGAGTCTCTTAACAAAAGTGAGTTTTTTAGATAAAGAGACAAAGATGATGATGATGTGATGTTATTTATGCCTGATTTGTCTTGCTCTCATACGATGAGTAGCCAAGGAGGATACTACCTGAAAACTTAAAGTTTTCAAAAATGTTCATTTGAAAGGTGCGGTGGCTACCAAAATAGTTTATTATGTGTTGATCATAAGAGATGGTGCTTGCACTATCTTCATGGGTTGCTGCAGGAATCTATTCACTGCTTCTGCTGACTCCTTACGTAGAAAAAGAAACATCAAGACTGCATTTTATCTCCCATAGTGTTCTAGATCTTATTCCTCTCACTTTTCTCCAATGGCTTGCAGAGAGCACTGCATCTCTTGGGAGTCTTGTTAAGTTCTATGAACTACTTGACTGGGTCCTGCACGGAGGACTAGCAGGACAGTTTTTCTGCCCCATAACCCTCCCTTTGTGACTTTCCAAGTGCAATAGCTGAAACAACTGTTGTTCAAACCCATGATAAATCAAACACTAGGAACAGGAAAGTAAACCTCTTCGAAGTACAGTAATTTTTATTAAATCGGAGATAAAACTGGAGTTTCATAAGTGTGATGGGATTTAATGCAGATAATAGCCCAGGCTCACTCTTAGTTTTCTGAAGTTAGTGATCTTTTATCTTGGCATTTTGAATGTGGAAGACAGAAGACGGAGCCTTTGGCTCTCACTCTGCACGATGTCCTTAACAGAAGGTAAATCTAACAAAATTAGTGGTTTTACATCTTTTGGAATACTGGGAATATCTGCAGTAGGCTTGGGTTGGCAATTCTTGTACTACAGTGGGCTTTCTTAAAGTGTGTAGGTAGCTGTGGTAGGGGTTGGGTGCAGATCTTCGGTTTACCCCATTACATTTTGCAGTGCTAATTCATACTACTGATGATTTAAATACATAACATTGGCAGCATGCTCAGTAAAATGACCTCTATTCTGGAAAGAGTGTTACCTCTATCTAGGATGCAGAGGAACAAACAAACTGTATCTCTAATATTCTCTGTCACTGATGCAAATTTTGTGTCTTTATCTCTCACATAGTACAAGGTGCTGTAGTTGCATAAGGGAATTGCATTGTGCTAATGAATTTGTATATGTGTGTTGTTAACTGTGTAAGTATGTTTGCGGTCATTCTAAATAGGTAGTGTGTTCTATGACTAAAATTAATTAAACAAATCAAATACATGTGTTGTTGCTTCAAAAGACAGAATAGTTCTAATCCTGTAGGGCAACAATCTTTTTCATTGTGCTAGAAAATAAAATGCTGTAGTATAAGTGAAATGCACTGTTTCAGAATGTATAAACAACAAACCCCTAGTTTAAAAGTATTAGACCCTTTTCAGTTTTTATTTAATTAACAGAATAACTAGCATATGGTAGGACACAATAATTATACTTTTAAATATGTATGCTTGAATAGAAAACCTTATTAATAAAAGTGCTTTTTTAGAAATACTAAAATATTTTACCATACCTCTCAGCAACTTCATAACAAGTATCAGTGCAGTAATTAATTTGGTGCCGCATTAATTAATACAGTTTATTAATTGATTAATATGATGCTGTAGCTAATATGTTTAGCTCTAATTTGTGTTTTAAAAGATTTTTTTTGTTTGTTTGTTTTTTTCCCAGCTCTGAACATAAACCTGAACTCTCCTTCTTGGCTGCAGTCTCCCTGCTTATGATCTTCTTTCTGGTTCAAAGGAGGTGCTCCCTGGTTTCAAAAATTGCTATGGCACTCGGGCTCCTGGGAGTCTACAGTTACCGGGCAGCTGTTGGAAATGTCATATTTCCATGGCAACATGGTGGCAAAGATATTTCAAAGTAAGTTAATCAACAGATCTGTAACGCTGTTTCTAGCAAGGTGTTAACACTTTGGATATCAGGGGATGAGGTGGAGGGGACATTATGTCTAGGTTGGAATTCCATTCTTATGAATGGAGCTCTAGTTTATAGGTGACCAGCACTCAGTTTTTGTTGTGTGTGCTTAATTTTAAGCCCAAATAAGACTGTGGCAGATCAGAAGCCAGTCAGATAAAAATTAATATGAGGAAAATCTAGTAGTCATACCCTATATTTTTGCTAAAACGAAACTCCAAATGCACCATCTCCTCTTGTTTTAGATGGGCTTGCCATGTTTAACAGAGCACAGGCCAAGATCATTTAGCTGCTTCTTAGTTTCAGAAATGGTTAGGCAGTAGTTCAGAGAGCTACTTTTCCGTACCTTGTTTTTCCAGTTGAGTTTTCTGTAGTATCTGGGCTTTCAAGATGTAACCACATCCTTCTTGAGGTCTCATCTGTGCAGCACAGTGCATACTAAGGATTTTTAGGCTGATGTTAAGTTTCTTAGAGAACTAGTCTGTAACTGTATGGAAGCTATTAGCTCTTTCACCAATGAAATTTCCTTTTTGGAATGTGGCTAAATGGTTTTAGTTTTCTTATCGTACTTTTCACTGTTGGATTGTACTTGGCTCTGCAGCCTCAAGTTTTCCTGAATGTCAGAGAGTTGTGAAAAACTTCCAGAGTCAGTTAGAACATTTGATGAGGGTGAAGAGATTATGGAAGAGACGTTTTTGAAACCATTGTCTTCTGGATGTAGTAAACTTCCTCTTGCACTCATTTTGAATTTTATATGCATACAAATGGTTTCTGTTGGAGCTTCTTAGTCAGGGGTCAGAGATTCACAAGATGTGCAGAGATGGAAAAAGCCATTCAGGGTAAGATCTTAGGACATATGGAAAATCAGGTTTGCTAACACAGCATGTTTTATAATAAATATTTGTAGGTATGTGTATCTGGATATATTGACATACGATCCCTCTCTCCAAATATTGAAGATAATTCTGGTTGTATACTAGTGTTAACATTGTGTGTTAATTCTGCTGCATGAGAAAGCAATGATAATCTTTACTTAATCTGGAGGATTTGGCTCTGTGTTTGAAACATGCTTGATTTTTGAGTGTAATCTCTAGTTTTGCTTTGTATTTTAGTGAAATCCTTAGAGAATACTACTGTCCTTGCAATGAGAATTAAAATACTGCAGCGTGGGACAGAACATTAAATACAGCAATTGAGCCACAAGTAAAATGCGATTAGAGAAATAAGTGGAGTACTTCAATACTGAAGTCAAACATTTATTTAAAACTTGGTCATTATGTAGTCAGCACGTTGGTTGTATTGATACAGAAAGCATACAGGCTTTTTTATTATTTCACCTTAAATAAATAGCTCACATGGTGATTTTCTTAAATTATGTCAGAGCTTAATATAAACCCCAAATGAATCTTCCCACGGCACACTGTGGCACATGGGTCCCATCTGAGGAGAGGTTCTGCCTCCCTTCCATACTGTTGTGCCTTTCGTAAAAGCAAAACACCAAACAATCCAAAACAAACCCATGTGTCTACTGCTGCCAGGTCAGAACATTATGTCTGTCCTAGTACCTATCAGTTCACAACGCAGGCTGGCATAGGGGTTTCTGCCCGGTCCTCTGCAGCCACCACTCGTGCTAACACGTGGGCTTCTCAGGTGGAAAGTACAAGGCTGGACAGAGAGACATGGTTTACCCAAGATCACTGACTAACCAAACATTATCTTCAGCAAGGCTCCCAGGACAGCATGTCAGCAAAGGTGGTAGACACAACTTAGTAGATTTCAGATGATAGGTGGCGTGTTGACATAGTGATGCTAGCTCATCTTTATGATCTAGCATCTTTATGATCAGGCATCTTATATGCCCGATGTGATATATTTGGTAAAAGCCTACTTAAAATGCCACCAGGAACAAACCCAGGACTTTCTTTTACACGTGTCTAGTTAGTGTATTCATAATCTGGAACAGCTCCAGATCCAGGTGCAAGGTAGAGGTAGTTTTGTGTAATATCAGTTAAAGCTGTAGGCAGCCACTGCATTTTTCATGCATAATGCATTCTTCTCTAAGATGGAGACTCTTTGCTCTCAAACACTCCCTCTCTGTACCCTTTACTGCAGATTTTGTCTGAATGTGACAACTGCTGGAAGGTGGATGAGGGAGAAGACGCAATTTAAGCCACATTTTCTGTGGCTTACACTAAGAAAACGTCTAAATTAAAAAACGCAAAGAAGTAATTTAGCCTTCTGTTTTTCTCACACTTATTTAAAAAAATTATAGTTTGAGCAATGAAAAAGATGAGTATATACTGTACTAACACAAAATAATAGTAGTGCATTTGCTGAGAAATATTTTTTTTGTTTGAATTTTCATCAGCTGGTTGATTTCAGTTCTCATTTAACTCATTGAATAGACCAATATCCAAAGCTAGTTCCTAAAGTTTTACTTCTAAGTCATATGAATATATTTGATGTAATTATTACCACAAAATATAAATATTCATAGTTATCAGAGACTCTGAAAAAGGTCACTGAGTTTCTGCATTAACCAGAAACAGAGGAACTCTCTAAACTTTACTGTTTTTTACTTTTTTTTTCCCCTTAAAGAAAAAAGCCAATGGGCCTTACAGGGTTTTTATAAAAGCTTGCTATTTAAGGGAATAAAATAGTAAAGTCCTTTTGCATGGGCCATTAGGTATAAATTTGGACCTTTGAAACCTAAACAACAGAACAGTGTATTGTATTCAAGTTTAGGAGGGCCACATCAGTGTTGTGTGGTGGTTTTGCCTTTTTTTCTTATTTCTGTGGATGCAAAAAGAAAATCAAACATGAAAATGCTCCTGCTTATTATTTCTCCTCTTGCTTTTTCTTTCCTCTTTGTGAAAAGGAAGATTGAATTCAAGCTTATTTCTTAGTAATTTGTTGAGAAGGAGGGTGACCTTCCAAAGACTGAAAAAATAATTAAAGTTTTAATTATTATTTATTTATAAATTATTATATTTTTTGTTGATAAGCTTTATTTTTAGAAATTTTGACTAGTGGTGCTTTGTTGTGGTCAGCTAATTACATTGCTTAGATGAGTATAACTATACTTTTACTATTTTTAGAGTCCTGGTCTAATCCTCCATATATTACTAAGTCCTGATGACTCAGGAATCCTCACTGCTGAGTGAATTAATATTAACTTTGTAGGAGACCATGTTCACTCATTACTCATGTAAAAAGTGGCTGGTAGTAAGAGTTTAACTGGTGGAGCTGCACTCTACCATGCCTTGTACAAACAGACCCATCATCCACTTCACAAGAAGTAATGGATCTCCCACCCTCTCACCACCAGCCAGAAGGACCTTAGGGATGGAGGGGAGTGGAAATGGCTTTCTGCTCTGGGTGGCAGGGGAATCTCCTCCTGACCCACCTCACATTCCCAAGTTGTTGACCTACCCTATCTTCCACAATAGATAAGAGGCCCTGGAATCTGAGAACCAGGGAAATGAGGACCAGAAAAATGTGAATATGAATGAAGGTCCATCCAGGTTGAAGAGATTACCTAGGGCAGGGCAGCTCACCCCCTGCATCACAACCTCAACTGAGAAAAATAGAAGGGTAGTAGTCACTGGTGACTCCCTTCTGAGAGAAATGGACTGGACCCAATCCACAGGGAGGTGTGTTGCCTCCCTGGGGCTCAGGTAAGGGTCATCCCCAAGAAACTTCCTAACCATTATTATTATTACCCACTACTGGTTTTCCAGGTGGGTAACAACAAAGTTCTAACAAGAAGTCTGTTGACAATCAGTTGGGATCTCAGGGCCTTGGGACAACTGGTCAAGGGATCTGGAGCACAAGTCATGTTCTCTTCTGTCCTGCCAGTTGCAGAGATTGATGGGGCAAGAAACAGGAAAATCAGGCAGATGAACACCTGGCTTTGAAACTGGTGTTACCAGCACAGTTTTGAGGTTTTGATCGTGGGTTGGTTTATGTGACACCGAGCCTGCTGGCAACACCTGCCCACCTGTTCTCAAAGGGGAAATCATAGCTTAGGAGTTAGCAGGACTCCTTAAGAGAGCTTTAAACTAGACTTGAAGGGGGACGGGGGCATAGCTGGGCTTAACAGAGATAAAGAATGGGAAGGGGAGTACTGTAGCAACCACAGAATTAGCAAAAGGAGTCCTAAGGGGGGATACTTTGGGCAAACACAAGCAGCCAAATACATAACCACAGGATAGGACTACGGGTTGTCCCTTTGCACCCCCCACTCAGATAGTGACATAAATCGAATACTTCTATATGGAAAATACTTCTAGGTAGAACCTGTACACCAGTGCAGTGTAGGAAACAAACAGGAGGAACTAGAGATCTGTGAGGAGTCACAGGGCTTTGATCTCACTGTGATTATGGAGATGTGGTAGGATAGCTGACATGACTGGAATGTTGTCATGAAGAGCCACAAGCTGTTTAGGAAAGATGGACCAGGAAGGCACGGTGATGGAATAGCCCTCTGTGTGAGGCAACACTTGGAATGTATTGAGCTCTATCTTGGGATGGATGATGAGCAAATCAAGAGCTTATGGGCGAGGATAAAAGGGCAGACTAGTGAGGGTGACATTGTGGGTGTTTGTTCCAAGCTGCTTGATCAGGAGGAGAAAGTGATTGAGGACTTCTACAGGCAGCTTGAAGCAGCCTCAAGGTCACAGTCTCTGGTTCTTGTGGGGGACATTAACCCTGACATCTGGATGAAACACAGCAAAGCACAAACAGTCCAGAAGGTTCCTGGAAAGCATTGATGACACCTCTCTGACACAGGTAGGGGAGGATCCCACAAGTAGTGCTGTGTTGTTTAGCCTCATACTAACAAACAGGGAAGGCCTTGCTGGAGATGTGAAGGTTGGAGGCAACCTTGGCTGTAGTGACCATGAGCTTGTGGAGTTCAGTATTGGGCAAAGAGGAAGCAGGGCAACAAGCAGTCATGGACTTCAGGAGAGCTAGCTTTAGCTTCTTTAGGGATCTTCCTGGAAGTATCCCGTGGGCCCAGCGGGGTCCAGGGCAGCTGATTGATGTTCAAGGATTACTTCCTCCAGGCTTAAGAATGACACATCCTGATGAGCAAGAAATCAGGGAGGAGGAACATGAGACCCATGTGGATGAACAAGGAGCTCCTGTCACTGCTCAAGTAATCAAGAAATACATAGGATATGGAAGCAGGGTCAGGTCACTGGAATGAATGTAGAGAGGTTGTCAGAGTAGGTAGAAATGAGATAAGGAAGACCAAGGTCCATCTGGAGTTTAATCTGGCCAAGGATGTCAAGATCAACAAGACAGGCTTCTTACATCATACATTAATGAGAAAGGGAGAACAAAGGATAACGTGGGCCCATCACTAAATGGACAGGGACACTGGTGACAGAGGATGCAGAGAAGGCGGAGTTACCGAACGCCTTCTTTGCGTCAGTCTTCACTGACAGGACCAGCCCTCAGGAATTTCTGACCCAGGAGACCAGGGTAGAGGAATGTCGAAAGAAAGACTTTCCTGTGGTCAAGAAGGATTGGGTTAGAGAACACCTACACAAACTTGACATCCACAAATCCACGGGCCCTGATGGGATGCATCCCCGAGTGCTGAGAGAGCTGGCAGATAGCACAGCGAGGCCACTCGTGATAACCTTTGAAAGGTCGTGGTGATCAGGAGAGGTGCCTGAGGACTGGAAGAAAGCAAGTGTCACCCTGGTCTTCAAGAAGGAAGGTGCAGGGGACTACTGACCACCTCAATCCCTGGAAAGGTGATGGAACACCTCATTTTGGAGGGCATCTCTACCCACATGGATGAAAAAAAGGTGATCATGAGTAGTCATCATGGATTCGCTAACAGTAAATTGTTCTTAACAAACCCGATTACTTTCTACAATAGACAGCTACCTGGATGGATGAGAGGAGAGGAGTGGATATTGTTGACCTTGACTTCAGCAAGACTTTTGACTGTTTCTCACAACATCCTCGTAGACAAACTCAGGAAGTGTGAACAGTATGAGAGGACAGTGAGGTGGATTGAGAACTGGCTGAACGCAGATCCCAGAATGTCATAATCAGTGGTACAGGGTCTTGTTGGAGGCCTGTCACTAGTGGTGTCCCCCAAGGTTCAATACTGGGCCGAGTATTGTTCAACTTGTTCATCAGTGACTTGGATGAAGAGGCAGATGCCTCCTCAGAAAGTTTGCTGGTGATACAGAGCTGGGGTGATACAAACCCCAGAGGGCTGTGCAGCCCTTCAGAAGGACCTCGACAGGTTGGAGAGCTGGGCAGAGAATAACCTGAAATTCCAGTAAAGGCAAATGCAGGGTCCTGCACCTGGTTGGGGGCCAACCTGCTGGAGGCTGGAGCAGAGGACCTTCTGTAGTCCCTTTCAACCTGACCCATTCTGTGTGTCAGTGATCCTGTGAAACCTAAGGATAATGTATATTAAATTACAGATTAAGTGTGTAGATAATGTGCATTTTTATCTTTTGCAAGATAAAAAAATAGATCTGTAACCACAGATTTTTCTCACGTGCTCATTTGGTGAATTCATTGGATTACTGACAACCTAGCGCACACTAATGTGATCCGGGTTTTTTTTGCCAAGAAAACATGAGAATGTCACTACATTTTGACGGATATTTGCTTTTGCTTTCTTAATTTTTCAGACCTTGCTCTTCTAAAATAGCAGGTCACAGTTTTTAAGCTTACTAGTCCTTATCAGCTTTTTGAACTACATGCTGTGTTTTATTCAGAAGCTGCCTTTCACTGGTAATTAAGAGGCAAATGAATTAATAGGTGGTTTGAAAATAGCATAAATGCCAATTACACTTACTACTTAAAACTCAGGGTTTTTTTGTAGTGGAATTGATTTTTTCAAATGGATTTGAAAAGTCTCTACACTTAACAAGGAAAAAATATGCTGATGTAAACCAGCACATATGTACATCTACGCAGCTGTGTAAGGTGAGAAAATGTCTGAAGTGTGCAGAGATTTCAGGCTGAAATAAAGATCTTCAAATACTCTTGCTGTTGTTTTAGTGGGCTAAAAAGAAGCATATTTGTGTGAATGAGTTGTGAAAAATCACTGAACAGCTTAAAAGATATAGGAATTTTTAAGTCAATTTAGTTTCTGAAATAAAGTTTCCATATCTCTTGAAGGAGTATTTTTTATTAACATTCATTATGCTATATAAATGGCATATTTGTATGGATATATTTATGGATCTGGATCTTGAATAGTATTAGCATAAATTTATTTTGGTTACATTAGTTGTTCGATCCTTGTATGGGAGAGTGACTTAAGGGTTCAACTTGATGATCAGTGTAGGTCTCTTCCAACTCAGAATATTCTGTGAAATCTGTGAAATACAATTTTATTTTTATATTTTACATTATTTAGTTTTTTAGCACAAGCTTTTTTCTTTGCTGAAGTCGATTTGGAGTTGTTTTAATTCAAGTATGAACCTTTCCTAGGGTTTTTGTATTGGAGAAAGCTCTCTCATGAAGTTGGCCAGTACCACCCTTAGATTTTGCCCTTTTTGGCAGAACTGGTTGGTCTTGACCTCTCTTGAAAGACTGTGTGAAGTAAGTATTAGTAAATAACTCATCTTTTATTTATTTATTCCAATTTTATTTTCTCTTTAGGGGGATCACTGAAGCTCGTTTTGTTTATGTCTTTGTTCTTGGCATAGTCTTCACTGGCACTAAAGATTTACTAAAGTCACAGGTTATTTCTGCAGACTCCAGCATGAAGAGCACAGGATTGTGGGAAGTATATAGCGGATTGGTTCTACTAGCAGCCCTTCTATTTAGACCTCACAATTTACCAGTCTTGGTGTTTTGCCTGCTGATTCAGACAATGATGACAAAATACATTTGGAGACCTTTGAAATTTGATGCGGCACAGATTACTATCATGCACTACTGGTTTGGCCAAGCTTTCTTCTATTTTCAGGTAAGCCGAATACTCTCCGTGCTGCAGAGGTGGGAGCTGGAATAGTTTTTCAAAGAAATATTGCCCATTGTAAATAAAATGCTAACTAAATATTAGGGTGGAAGAGTTTACTGAGTTCTCAGAAGGGTTTAATTTCTAATCGTTTTATTAATGTTTTGGTTTTAGAACCAGGGAAAGATGCATACCTTGATGTCTGATCCTCAAAACAGATTTCCAAAAGTGTTGCAAGGATCAGATACCTATACCAGCATGATTTTGGTCTGTTAATGGGCCTCATAAATACTACTCAGGTGATAATTAATTAAAAAATGTCATCTGAGTTGATTAATACCGAGAAAAGGCAGATGACTATTTGTCACTGATTCTTGAGCATTTACAAGCCTTTGGTTGCATCAAAATAGATATACATACAGTTTAAGACTGTGGCATGTAGTATCTCTCATATCAGAACTAGTTTTCTTTGTTATTATATCAAATTGTATCTTCTTTCCTGAGGAGCCTTACTGATTTCAATAACATAGTTGTCTGCATTGCAAATAAGGTTGAAATTCCACAAAAACGTTCCTTAGCGTGGAAGGAAAGGACTTTTAGCATTGGACAGGATCTTTCTTCTTCTAATAGCATTGGAAACAGTGTAGCAGGCTATCTAAAGTTAGGTTTGTGAGGCTGGGAATCAGGTTGTTTCTGGTTTAGGAGGAGAGGTTTTCTGATTTGTCGCGAAAGTTCAAGGTGAGACCTGTGTTGACTTTGCTTCTAAGGCATGGCTGGGGATGTTAAAACTGTGGTCAAGCTTAGGGTATGTCCTACTCCGTAACTACAGACTGAGGATTGGCTTGACTTTGCTCTGGGAGTACATGTGCAGATAGCATATTGCTGATGCAGGTAAGATCGTCGTGGTTCTTCCCTTCCTACCCAGTTTTCCTGCTCAGAGGATGTAACATTTACTGGTTGAATGGCTTTTGCACGCTTTGAATGTTGCTGTTCACCAGTCAGCTTTGATTATGGTCTTCTGAGAGCAGCTCTTAGTGTGGCTGGCAGGAGGCTGGAGAGAGGGCCCTCTCAGTACTGAGGTACCAAGTGAAAACAGCTGCCAGAAATTTAATGGTGGGTAGGCTGGGAAGGCTGGGAAGAAAATCCAAGTTATGGAAAAGGGACAATAAAGAATGTTATGAATATTTTTGTAAAGCAATCCATTTTCAGTGATGCTGAATTCTTGGTACACTTGGCTGAGAATTTCAAAGAACCATGAAATTACAGGAGAGTTGAGGCTGGAAGATGCCTCTGGAGATCATTCAGTCCAACCTCCCTCCGTCTAAGAGCAGGTCAAATAGGTCAGGTTGGTCTGGACTATGTCCACCCCCTATTTTAAATATCTGAAAGGATGAAGACTCTGCAAGCTCTCAGGGCAGTTGGTCCCAGTGCTTGACCAGCCTAGCTATTAAAAAAGCTTTTTTTTATGTTTAAACAGAACTTCTTGTATTTCAGTTTGTGTGTGTTGGTTTTTATCCTTTTGCTAGTCACTCTTGAGTGACTTAAAAGGTCAGAGTCTGACTGCATTTTCTGTACTACCCCCTCATCAGGTATTTATACACATTGTTATGATCCCTGCTGAGCTTTCTTCTCTTGAGAGTAAACATACCCAGCTCTTCTAAATAGTTGTTTGTATTACAGATGCTTTCTTCCCATCATCAGTTTTGTGTAATGCTTCAGTGGACTTTTTCCAGTACACCCATGGCTTTCTTGTGGTGGCAAGCTCAGAACTGAACCCAGGCACCCATATGTGATATGGCTTAGTAGAAGGAATAGAGTATCTCCCTCAACCAGCTAGTGAGGCTCTCTCTAATGTAGTCTGAGGTGCTGTAGGTCTTTGCACAAAGGGCAAATGACTGGGTGATCTCTTCCAGGTTTCTTTCCATACAGTTAGTTCCCAGTGTGAGGAAAGGCATAGTTTTATTCCTCCCCAAGTGCTGGATTTGATATTTCCCTTTGCTGAACTTCACGAATTTCTTGTCAGTCCATTTCTCTAGTCAGTCAGGGTGTCTCTGAGTGGCAGCAGGCCCATTTGCAGACCCATCTGCTGTACCAACCACTCCTCCCAGTTATGTATTGTGTGCAGACTTCCTGAGGGGACACTGTGCCCCATTGTCCAGGTAATTAGTGAAGATGTTAAACAATATCAGCCCCACTGTCAATCCTTGTGGTTCATTGCTAGTGATTGGCCTCCAAGTGGACTTTGTGCTGCTGATGGCAACCCTGTGAGCTCAGTATTTGATCAATTGGAAGTCCACCTGACTGTCCACTTTCCTACCCTGGACTGCATCAGTTTGTCCATGGGGATGTGATGAGAGACGGTCTTAAAAGCTCTTGTGAGGGGAAAGTACATTAGATACATGTAGCCCATGTATGTGCAGCCATGGCATGATGGAATAGAAAATAAGGACTTCTTGAAAAAATAGTTTTGTTGTGGAAGTGTAATGTAGCAGGCTAAATTTTGTGTCTTCTCTGATCTAAGTGATGCCAAAAATTTGGGAATAACTTTTCTGGAAGAATTTACCTGAACTTTGGAACAGCTGTACACCTTTTCCAGAAATGAGCTATTAGAGCTGTCAGGAGCTTGATATGTCTTTCCATTTGACATATGCCAAATTTTCATCTTTCCATATGCCAGAGGAGTTTTTCTACACCAATAAAACTGTATTTATGCAAGACCAGTAGATGGTAACAGATCTGATAGCACGTGCTATGGTTTTTAGTGGTCTTAAACTGGTGTTAATGGGAAGATGGAAATTTATTTTAAGATTTTTATTTTTCATTATTGATACTTTGCACCTTCCAATACCCTTGCAATTGAGGATTTCTTTGGTTTTTAGAAGGCAGAAAGAAGCGATTTTCATTTTACTTGGCTACAGATTTTGTTCTTGGATATCCTGCAGTTTCAGAGCATCCTCCCAGGCCCCATCACACTGCTGGAAATTTTGGCATTTCCTCTAGAAGTGTTTCCTTTGGAAATAATAACTTCCAGTGTGATACAGATTTCAGCAAACTTTGGGATGTTTTAAAAATTAGCTCTGACAAGGAAATTTCTTGCTCATAGACTGCTACTGAATCGCAGCATCCAAACCTCAGAAATGAGAAATTCTCCATTGCTTTGTTGTGAGCCAGATTTCTAGGTGGGTCTTTTTGCATCTCCTGTAAGACCTGGTGAAAAACTTGGGTGATAATTACTTATCAAGACTTCTGGTAGAAGCAGGACAAAGCTTTTGCCCCCGTGTTGTTTACCACGTTGGCTTATATGAAATAGAGCAGACCCAGATAAAAAGGTGCCTTTTTGTGTCCCATCACATGCCTGTAAATTCCAGCTTTGAAGAGAGATTTGACATCATTGGCATAAGTGAAACCTGGTGGGATGAAACCTGTGACTGGAGTGCCCTGTTGGTTGGTTCCAGGCTCTTCAGGAGGGACAGGCAGGGCAGAAGAGGCAGAAGGGTGGCACTGTGTGTAGTAGAAAGGTCAGGATGATGGAGCTCACAGTTCACAGTGGCACAGTTGGGAACCTCTGGGTAAGAATCAAGGGGCAAACAAATAATGCAAATGTCATTGTGGGAGTCTGCCACAGACCTCCCAGCCAGGACGATGATGCTGATGAATTACTCTTTGAGGGACTAAGGGACACTTCCAAGTCAACTACCCCTGTCCTTATGGGGAACTTCAACTTGCCAGAAATTAACTGGGAGTGTCACACAGCTGGTACAACTAGTGGGATTCTGCAGGGCTCCATCTTAGGCCCCGTACTCTTCAGCATCTTCATAAATGGTTCAAACGCAGGACTGGAAGCAAGAACTGAGCAAGTTTGCAGATGACACAAAACTGGGTGGAGCTGTTGACTCTCTCGAAGGCAGGGAGGCCCTGCAGAGAGATCTGGACAAATCAGGACTAGGCAATCACCAACGATATGAAGTTCAGTGAGGGGAAGTGCTGATTCTACACCTGGAATGGGGCAACCCTGGATGTTCGTACAGACTGGGGAGTGAGATGCTGGAAAGCAGTGCCATGGAAAGGGACCTGGGGGTCCTGGTCAATGGCAAGTTGAATCTGAGTCAGCAGTGCCCTGGCAGCCAGGAGGGCCAACCCTGTCCTGGGGGCATCAGGCAAAGCATCACCAGCCCGTCAAGGAAGGGGATTGTCCTGCTCTGCTCTGACCTGGGGCAATGTCACCTTTGAATATTGTGTTCAGTTTTGGGCACTGCAATATAAGAAAGATATTAAGCCATTAGAGAGTGTCCAAAGGAGGGCAATGAAGATGGTGAAGGGCCTTGAGGGGAAGCCGTGTGAGGAGCAGCTGAGGGCACTTGGTGTGTTCAGCTGGAGAAGAGGAGACTGAGGGGAGAGCTCATTGCAGTTACAACTTCCTTGTGAGGGGAAGAGGAGGGGCAGGCACTGATCTCTTCTCTGTGGTGACCAGTGACAGGACCTGAGGGAATGGCCTGAAGTTGTGTCAGGGAAGGTTTAGATTGATATTAGAAAAAGGTTCTTCTCCCAGAGGGTGGTTGGGCACTGAACAGGCTCCCCAGGGCAGTGGTCACAGCACCAAGCCTGACAGAGTTCAAGAGGTGTTTGGATGATACTCTCAGGCACATGGTGTGACTCTTGGGGATGGCCCTGTGCAGAGTTAAGGTTGGACTCGATGGTCCTTGTGGGTCCCTTCCAACTCAGTGTATTCTGTGATTGTGTGATTAAGCAACAGCTTAGCAAAAATTCTGAAAAGTTCTTAACTCTCTTTAGCGTAGGACTTTTTATAAATGTATCCATTTTAGAACATGCCAACAGTCTTTTATAAAAAATTATTTTTTGTGTCTGTCTACTAAGGTGTGTGTGTGCAGTCACCATTTCCAAGACTGATTAAAATGGCAAACAAATTGTAGTACAAGAGAAAGAAGAATTGTGATTGGGACCTACTTCTCTATTTTCTCTCTTTATCTCTATTTCTCTCTTTTTTTTCT